GAGCTAGCCAGCTAGCTCAATGTTATCTTCCTAACATGTCCCCCCCCCCAGGGTTCTGTAGCTCGTGAGCTAACGGCTAACACAATAGTCACCCGGGAACATGCTAGTGCTAGCCAGTTAAAAATGTAATTAGAGCGTGTGAGCAAATCCAATGATTGCAAGACTTCAGTTGAAATGAATTGATTGTGCCAGATAATCTAACTGCTCTAAGTCGGTGTGACTGTGCCTCAGTGGACCGTTGTTTAAGGAAAGCTTAAGCTATTTGGAAATGCCAAAAATCGAATGAAACATAAAGCTGACAGTGGTGAGGCCATCACACGCAGCGCTACACTACTCAATAATCAACCGTTCATCCAAAACCAAAACTGATCCTCTCCGATCTCTCTTGATCTTCACGAGGCCCTGCACACAGCAACGGGCTTCTCAGGTATCTTGGAGGTCCTGGGCTCAGTCCCTGTGGTGTAGCTGCTGCCACATGGAGGTAACTCTAGCGGACTCAATATTAATGACCAGTGACCAGGGCCTCCTTGTAATCCACTTACCGTCATTACACAGGGTCAGCGTGGCTACTGCTGCTGGGCTCTCATACCCCAGCTGGACGCACTGCTGCATTCCATTCGAGTGCTGTATGGTTTGGAAGATGGAGAAACACTGTTTTGCTACTTACATTTGCATGTATTGGGTTTTGCAAAGTTGCACGAAGTTGTTGAAATGACAGCGCCGCTGGAAACCTATCAGGATAATACAGACTATTAAAAGAATGCTTCATTGCAATGAAAGCAGACACATTTGGAAGGCGAGGGACATTTTTTGCCTCTCTCACTAACTAGGGGAAATCATGGCAGTGTTAAGGCTAATTTGTAGCACACACAAGGAAGGGCCTTACCTCCACAGTGCTAACTTAAAAGATGACAGTTCAGAGTCCGTGTAATTAAAACTTCTTCGATAGAGGCCAACAAGACTCAGGGGAAGGCTGCGGAGAAAGTTTAAGAAAATACAGGTGGACAGCTCCAAACTCCTCTAACATAGTCACTGCCTTTGTGCAACCTCGGCCCCTGTACCCTGCTTTAGCTCCACATGTGTCAGAGGAGTTTTCAGCGTAGAGGACCCTCCAGATGAACTTTTACCCCTTGGTCTCATTTTCAAACACACACACACACACACACACACAGAGTGGAGTTAACCTGCGCAGCCCCAGCAGGCAGTGTATACATACGCCACCCTGCCTAATGACCAACTGCGCTACGGCTATTAGACCGAACGTGTTGTTATGATTTCCACACATTCTCATCAGGGTGAGAAGGCGTTCTCAGGCCAGGGAGGAATGAAGGGCATCCCCTGTTCACTCCATGCTCCCCACCCTCCGGTTCCTAAAGCCCTGTAATTGAGAAATACAGCTCAAGGTAACATGCCCCGTAGACCTTTGTCTACAGACATGAGGTAATGGTAAGGCTAATTAGGCCGAGGAGACAGGGTGGGCAGAAGCTCCTGGCCTGAAGCCCCATTAGTCTACACAGCAGTCTCCCTATGGTTGAGGGCATTTACCCGTGGATGAGGAAAACAGAGCGGCATCTCTGGCTGGCTCCTACGGTAAAGCCATGGTGATGGACTGAGTCACCACATGAAAGGCTGGGCAAAGGCAGGATAGCGGAACGCCGGAGAACGAGAAGCGGGAGACTGTGAAAGAAAAGGCTCATTCAAGCACTTATGAAAAAGATGAGAAGTCTCAGCAGGAGCCCGAGTCCCCCTCCCTCTTACCCTACTCTGATGCTCATGATGAACAATTTGTCTTGTTACAAAGGCAGGACTTATCACATTGAGCCCCGTTCAGGATATTGGCCCTGACGCTGTAATTTTAACGCAGTAAATCAAAATGATTGCAGCGTATATCGTAACACGAGGCACAGACATTTCGCTTTAATGGTTTCCGAAATGCGTCAGGGGGACATTGTAGGAACCCATATGACATGTCAGTGGGTCCAGGACAGGACGGGCTTTCTGACTTTTCCACAACTTAATCCCTCTTTGCTCGGCCCACTACTCCTCCTGCCTCTGCCCTGCTCGTCTGGCACTGGCCCTCATCTGCTAAACAATGGGTTCAGTTAATGCATGGATTTATGGACGTGAAAATAAATACATCAAAAGGGCAAGAAAGCGAGCGATTAATGGGACCTTACTGCAGTGCAACATTAATCTCTGGGATCTGAGATAAAAGCTGGACTTAACGTGCTATAAATTCTCAGATCCCTAACGTGTTCTTTTAAACTATTACAGTCGTCGGAGACAGAGGGGAATAGACGGAGAGCAGGTCTTTGATTTGGTAAGCGCCAGTTTTCATGTCTGAGCTGGGGAAGCCATCGCTTGGCCTTTACTCACACGGCAGCTCACTTTTCAAGGGATGGCGGAGAAAGATGAATAAAGAGGGAGAGGGATTTGTTATCTTAAATCAGTTAGGGGCTGCAGGCAGACTTTTATACAACTACATGAAGATTTATGGAACCGTCCATTTCTTTGCTACTACTTACAGGGCAATGCCATTTAACTGTTCCGTTTCTTGATCATATACACAGACCCAAATGTACACACGTACTATTTTTCAGTATTACATCATCACTCATCTAAAGTACCTTGGCATATGTGGCCGATTCCTGGCCCTTCGTTATCCATGTCAGGGGAAACCTAATCTGCGAACATGTGTTTCTGTCGTCCTCATTTGAAAGCGAATAAAGCGCAGCATCCGGGCTGATGCAACACTCCCATCACTCCGACAATGGCGTGGGCTCCTTAAGGCGCAGGCTGATGACACGTCAAGGAACTGAGAAGCAAAACAGCATGTCCGTCACTGCTTTGATGACACTAAATCAGGCGCTCATCGTTTGTTACAGAGAAAGGTCTTGGGAGTGCGGGGAGCGTCACTCCCCTCTAGGGCAATTGGAGCGCTATCAAAACATAGCTCGACATGCTCGACACCTCTATTCAGGCCGAGCCAAATAAACACATGGAAAACAGAGGATGAGATAGTAGGTGAATGAAGACATGAACTTGAGAATAGTGGGTAGAACTTAAGAGGAAAGACTCAAAACTAGTCTAGTCTGAGACGGAGACCCCTTTGTTCATGAGATCTTTGGTCCGCCTTTGGCATTAAGACGTGAGAGGAAATGGGGTCAATTTACACTCACTTAGAGCCTTCAGAATGTCTATGCCAGAATGTCCCTGTCCAAGCACTCCCTCAGTTGCCGGACTACCCAGGGCAACGCAGGGTGGCATTTGTCTTGTGTTTAACATGGGTCATTGAGCTTGATGGCTTTTGGGAGGGGAAAACCTCGCTCTCACACCTACTTACTCACTCACTCACTCAGCCTTAGCTCAGAGAGCATGATGGGCCGAAAGCCCTGTTCCTGTACATAAAGCAGACTGCCTTTGAGCCTCCCCCTGTCACTGTTATCCTAATTAAGAAGACAAACAGAGTGAGAGAAAGACTTGAAGAGCGAGGACGACGTGGGGTAACAGGTTCCGCCCTTTGGCCTGAGTGAGTGCCATTACCTACTCCTGACCTTCCCTGCCACCTCCTCCTCAACCTCACTGCGTCCTTATTCACCTCGACTGTAACCCCCCCCCATGCCACTCGCCTGCTCCACACAGCCATCAAAGTGAGCCTTGTGGAAAAGAGCATACGAAGGTTAGGTGACCTGATTTTGACCGGTGGGGGAATTTTCTGTAACTTCATCAAGCAGAGGCCTGTGGAATCCTCCAGTGGGTTGCTTGTTGGAGGCTGGACTTCTCAAGAGCCCCCTTTTACCACCCCCACTTACTCCCCCTGTTTTCAAAGGTCCGGTGACATCTGAGTTAGTAATTTGGCACACAGCTGGAGCAGGACACTGAGGTTTAATTGGGCTGCACTGCTCTGGTGGTTTCAGCAGTCACTGGATTCCGGCCCCATCCTTCAACCTTGATCCAACCAATCGTGTCTTTTAGGAGCTTGTAATTGTTCACCTATGTTTATGTGCAAAGAAAAATGCAACAAAGTGCAAAAATGGAAACAGACTCAGAGAATTAATTATAATGTATATGAAGTGTGACTTTGGTTCCACTGAGTGAGCAGCAGATAAAAACATCAGATCTGTGTGGACGGATGAGACTGAAACCGCAATATAAATCATGAAACCCCCCAAAAAACATGTATACCACAGTGTTTTGGTTCATTTGAGGTTTGACTAGCGTTCTTTTAATTACATCATCTCATTGCCGCCTCTTCCTCTGAAACTGTAAATGCAAGACTGGAGAATTAGCGCCACCGACTGTTTATCTCAATGAGCCCAGCTCTTTGTATAACAGCAGTGGTCGGAAACACATTCATTTGCATTTTCTTTTTCAGATTTTCTGGAAATTCTTCTTCTTCTTCCAAATCTTGGAAACTTGGCTAAAGACAAGTGCACTTGAGTTGATGACAAATAGTTTCTGAATAAAGTTACAAGAATACACAAGTTGTGTGAAAATCTGCAGTGACAGATTGTTATTTTTTTAAGAATATAGTTTTTTAAGTTTATTTTTCTGACTTTTCATCTTCATTTGACAAGTCAGATTGTCAGACGCATGCCGACTGAGCCACTAGGAAGCCAAATAACAATTTAAATTAAAGGTGATTGCAGAGTGAGGAAAAGTACTCTGATACTGTCAAAATCAAATTCAGCTGTAATGGTCCATAGGTGAGAAAAACAGCCAGTGATTGACATTTACTGCTCTCTTGCGCTGTCATTTACAAGATGAAAGGTCTGTTTACACAACTGTGCACTCTGGAACGAACTCCTATGGGGCAGCTGAAAGATGTTGCTGGAATATTTTTCTCAAAACCGAACAAAGATAGATGTGAATGGCACTCAAGGGCACAAATCCCAGAAACACTGGAATATTTTTCTCATACCGTTCCACCTCACACATCACTGCTCTCGGTCTTTGCCGGGTTGAAGACATGAATTAATTTAATACCTTGGAAATACAAGTTTAGTTGGGTTTTCTTTAATATAAAATGTAGCAGTTATCAAGAATAATGTGAATTCATACAACTTGCCTCATAAACAGCATTTCATTTACAGCAAGAAATTAAAAATATTTTCTGGAGACTGTACAAATCTGATTCTGATCAATAAAACAGATGGCAGAGGGGTAAAATATGGAGAGGTGAACAAGTAAAATAATATTTAAAAAGGGAACTTAATGTGATACTAAAATGAATAAAAAACCAGAGACAATGTAAAGGGGTGAGGGGTGTTAAAGTCCCTTTATGTTTGTTACCATTACTGAAGAGCATAAACACTCATATTACCCTTTTTAAAAATGGACAGAAATCCAATACATAAATATCATAGTAGGTGGAAATGGTAAGAGAAATGAACTTGAAAACATTTGGGCAATGCAACCTGAGTTGGACATACAACTAGTGTATGAGAAAAATTCAAACAGGATTTGTACAGTATGGTGGCCAATTGTTCAAAGGTAAGAAAACATAGTTACAGGAATAGTTTAAAATTGTGGGAAATATTATTGGCTTTCTTGCCAAGCGTAAAACGAGAAGGCTGATACCAGTCTCAGGTCTGTACGTTAATTATGAAGCTGGAGCCAGAAGGTATTTAGCGTAGCTTAGCATTCCGGGGGGGGAGAGAATGACTACTCTGGCTCTGGCAAATGAATAAAAACCACGACTTCAGTGGTGCTAGTAAGCATATTTCTAAACTTTGGACAGAGCCAGCCTAGCTGCTAACAGCTCCTCGTTTCCAGTCTTTATGCTAGGCTAAGCTAATCACCTCTTGGCTGTAGTTCCATACACAATACACAGACATGAAAGTGGTGTTGATGAAAGAAAGCAAGCAAATGAGAGGGCAACCTATTCCTTTAAAGTGTAAATTATGGCTCTTCATCAGGCTTTCACTACATTAGCAGATCTACCGGGGCTGTAACATCGTTAATGATAATTATACAGCCAGGATTAATGAGTAGTTGCTTTGAGAATCAATGTACCAGAATTGAAGGTTAAGTATCTCTATGATAGAAGCTTAAAAAAGAAAAGCACTGAGTAAAAAATGAGTAAGTGAGACTGGGAATGGGAGACTCAAATTAGCAATAAACTTCTAATGCTCATAAAGTCAGGAGCGGCTACTTAGCATTTCACTGAGTTAAACTCCTGGAAGTGTGCTGTGGACCCTCTATTAGCAGCCTCGCTGAAGCCATTTTTATGTGAATAAAAATAAAGACTCCACCCTAATAAAACACAATTGTGAACATTTTCTTCTAGCAGACAGCCAAAAGTGTCCAGTTCTGGGACTTTAAATGGCAAAGCTGTTATGCTGGGCACCTTCACATGAAGGGTGGCTTTTCAGAACGCTCCTAAATGGAATATATAACACCTAAATAAAATGGCTCTCTATGCTTTGCATGGGGAAAACTGGACTAGGGTGATGAAATCAAAACAGTTGACTGAAAGAAGAGACGCCTCCTGTGTAAAAGGGCTGTCAGAGAGGGGGCTACAGTTGAGATCAGGTTGCTTTAAAAGTGGAGATATGTTTATAGAAGGTATGCAAGAAAACAACTGGAGGACATTAGAAAATATATTAATTTCTCTTAAATAAAATTACAATTACTGCCCTTTCTTGAGAGTGTACCTGACAGTGTTTTTGTTTGGAGTAACAGTCATGGAAGCATTATAGAAGCACAGATTTATAGTAAGACAGAAGGCAAATATGTTTGCTTTTCTCCCCCTTTTCCCCTCAGAGGTTGTGTTCTTTTACAGACATACGCATGTAAGTTGTCCACCAAGAAGAAATTTATCAATCCCCTTTGGTTTCTAATGGTCTAATGTTATAAACACACTAAAGACGGAGTCCTGGTTGGCGCGGTTGCTGATGTGCTGGCAGGACTGCTGGTGCTGTGATGGTCCAGGCTCGTTCCACATTCTGGTTTGGACCAAAGAGCTCAAGCTATGGTTGTGTGACCCAGACTGAGACCCAGATCAATGTCCAAGGCTCATATTCTGGACGGGCTCCCTTAGCCTCAACCCTGTCAGATCTGGTCAGACCTGGCGATCCACATCCAGACCACAGCTGAGGTCTAAATCCAACCTGATCCCGAGCAAAAAGCTTATTTTTAGATCCTTGCAGCTCAGGTATGGCGACACAGCCGTCTGGCGCTGTCTTGTTTTATTCCCGTTACACCCCCCCCCCAACACCAGCCACAGCAGACATAGAAAGATAAAAACCTGCATATTTTTGTCAAAGCCCTTCCCTTTTCCTCTTTTACAGTCTGTCTGGATCTCAGGAGTGAGTCCAGCTGACTGGAACCCAGTGAGTCTCCATCTCCACTTTCTTTAGCGCCAACCGCAGCTCGCTGAAGGCGGCCGAGAGGTCATCGTTGACTATGACCTTCTCAAACAGATGGCCGTATTGAGTCTCCATCGTCTGGGCCGCTGTCACCATCTCCTGAAAGTCCTCCTCCTGCAGTGTACGTGAGAGCAGAGAGAAGAAGACGGAGGTGAAAAAGACAAGAAGCAGAGATATATGTGCAAAGCAAAGGCCAAACTATCTGCTGCACAGAGAAAACACTGGCCACAGTAAACAAAAGGGGAGATAAACACAAATTACACAGCCTTGAACACGCAAATAAACATAAAGTGGCCTGTACGGAGCCCGTTCTAACCTCACAGAGACATGGTGCACACACATGAACCCGGGCACAGACCACGCACTAAAACCTCTCCGTACAACAACCTGACCTCAAGGAATTTTCATCATTTCCTCCACCGAATACACACGGTTATCCAATTCACAAAGAAAATAAAAGATCCTCAAAATAAGCAGGGGACAAAACATAACCATCATTTCCAAAAGACAGACGTGTAAAACATACATTAGAACCAGTCTGGATTTTATATGTGCATTGGGGAAATGCAGCTTGCGGTAACGCTGTTTCGCTTTCAGAGCTGCGAGCTCCGACTGTGTGAACCTGCTGCACAATCTGCTGAGGCGGCTGTAATGGACATGGCGCGGAGTGGTGCTCTGGAGGCAATAACCTTACAGTGTCAAGTGTACCTGAAGTGGCGGAGTCAATGGTGTGATTCAAACTCAAACAATGATTCTGATGACTTTAGACTTTACTTCATAAAATCTGAAAGGAACTCGACTTTCATACCAATGGCTCCAACTTCAGCATGTTGATTTGGAATGATTTTCTATCCTCCTTTTATAACAAAGTTGAAGGTTACGGTGCAGCCAGTCAACTCTTTACTTTTCTTCTAGTCTTGCTTCTTGCTCATTTGTCATAAACATGCTATCATTATTCAGGCAGGGTGTGGTAATACAGACATGATGATTTGGCAGTCTGTCCTGCTCACTATTGATACACCTCTAATGTGTGGATTTTGTGGTTACTGACAGAATCCCACGCTTAAGGAGGCTTAGAGACAATGGCTGTTAAATGATGGGGGAATTAATGAGCTACTAAACAATGTTTTACGGGCTAGGGTTAGCTGTGATGCCTAAATCTGTTTGTTTTGCACTGTAAGTAATGATACAAACATTAAAAGAGAATGCATGCCCTATTGGCACAAGACGAGGGAGCTGAATAAAATTGTTGCACGCTGACATGGAGGCTTTGACAGGGGTCCTCCAGGGGGACGAAGAGTTCTCCAGACAAACTATAAATAGACAAACACAATATGCAAATCAGCTGTCCAGTGTAAAGATTAAAACCACTTGCTAACTGTGAGGAAGAGCCAAATAACATATTTTCTATCAGGTTGGGGGTAAACATTGCCTATCTGGGGCTCCTGTATTCATAGATAGAGTATTCTGAGAACCCAGGTATCTCTCCGCGGTGGTCCCTCTGAGGCTTTCTGGTTTCAGCTGTGTGGGCCCGGGCTGATCCTGGCCTCAGTGCACCAGCAGGGCTAAAGTGGCTGCACTGATTTAGCCTTATGTTTTTACTGGAAACACTCAACTTTAGATTTCTGGACAGATATGGTTTTATAGTGAACCCCTTTGCCAAACACACAATTATAAATACACACAGATGCACATTCATGCACAGAAACTCAAACACACACACACACACACACACACACACACACACGCTCCCACGCCCACAAACAGGCAGCATCAAGCTGAGTGTGTGCATGCAATGTGTACGCACATAAACACGGCCTCGTTAAAGTTCAATACTCCTAAACGGCTCAATTTTTAGAGACGCTCCTTCCAGCCAGCAGTTACTTCAGAATGTTTCTGGTGGTTTTCCGCTTCATAATGGATTAGCTGCGCAGCTAAATATAAACACTCACTCGCTGTGACACTCAGCAAAAGCCCTGTCTGCTTTTTTTTTTTCTTCCCCCGGCTGTCTCGCATGTATCCACCTTACAAAAAACCGACCCACGCCATCTCACGCTCTATTGTCTTTCGTGAGGAGGGTGTGATGGTTTTATCAGCCCGTGTCTCGGAGAAGACAGGAAGAGGATGGGCTGAGACGAGGAGACGGCTCAGGCAGGGCAGGAGGTTTGTTGGCCTGTGGAGGGAAGTGTTCAGCAGCGGGACTATATTCTGTCATCTGGACCGAAGCCTCCGCAGGACTTCCACTGTTGGACTCTTACAGATGACCACTGTGTCCAACGCCAGGAAGACAACCCCGCGGACCTGTCCTGGCAACTAAATGAGACTGTGTGCTGGGTTTTTTTTGTGTGTGTGATGTTTCCATGTCCACCAGCGAGTCTGTGCGTCTGTCTCTAGTTAGCCCATTCCAGGTAAAAGAACATTAATCACAGCAGGAAGCCGCTTAAGGGACGGCGAGCTGCGTGAAGAGATGGAAAGAGAATCAAAAAACAGAGGAAGAAAATAATAAGATAGATGTAGGATTGAGTAAAAGGGGCAGGGAGATGATTATAATGAAGGTAAAAAAAAAAAAAGGCAAATGGAAAGCTGGGCAAGCAGGAGTGAGTGGATATTCTCTGGCATCCACTGATCGGCGCTGGATCGCTCTCCTCAGAGGGCAGTTTGAGCTGATGCCACTTTCTGGAGGGCCAAACTCGAGAAGAAACGCACCGGGGACTCATTTATCCTCGCTGCCATTAGATTGCTTAATTTCCACATGAAATGATGTAGCGTCTTGCGCCTGTTTAAGTACTTTGTTCTAGCACAGATAAATGGCAGTTTTCATTGCACAATATGAGGCTATTGACTCTCAGTTTGGTTTTCACCACTGATGGTTCTGCATGTTGCAGATTTTAACCAATGTGATGTTTTTATGGCTTATTTTTATTATTTTCTTAATTTTCTTTATGATATTTGTTTCATTTTACTGTAAATTACGGCTAAAAAGGAAAATCCCCCCTTACGAGACTATAAACCTTTTCAACGCTTCAGTGGCACGAAACAGCATGTGTCGGCCTCAGGTGTCATCTTTTAAAACCACACACACACACACACTCCAGGTCGTCAGCGGGGAACCTGCTTTATTGATCCCAGTAAAACACACCTGTCCTCTCCATTTAAATACGCGGCAAAAACCAAACCGAGCTACACAAACCAGCTCTGAATGATTGCGGTCATTTGAGATAATGTGCCATTTCGACACTAACCGCATTACAGCCTGAATTGTGCATGACATCAGCCTGTTTTTGCTTGTTTCTGCAGCACGCTTCGGCTCCTTTTTTTCCTGAAAAATCTACTCTGAACCGTCTCCAGCTCAAACAATGGGGCTAAAGTCAGACTGCTCTGCTGAAACAATGAGACGACTGTTCCTCAGCCTTTATCATTAAAGCAGACCTGTCTCTCTCTGAGGGAGAAATACAGCTGGCGGTGGATAGAATATGTCTGAGACGACTCACCCAACAACAGCTTCTCTTTCAGAGCCTTTAATAGCAAATCTGAGGTGGCTTACGTCCTGTCAGTGCACATGAACATTTACACAGAACCTGGTTTGTTACCTGGCTGAAATATGCCTCCCTGTCACGCAGTTTTATAGAGGTGTATTTGTATTGCTTGAGAGAATAGCAGGAGCTAATAAAGGGACAGTGAGTAATAACAGCAACAGCATGGATAGTTAGCAATCGTCCTGTTTCTGACAACTAAAGCTCATTGTTCTCAGGACCCCTGCTGGGAAATGAGGAGCAGACAGGGGCAAAATGATATTTCACTGTGTGACTAATGCGAGCTGACTTTGTGCCTGTAGGGGAGTGTTAAAGGTTTGACAGGGAAGTAAAATATCTAAGAGATGTTCGGAGTCTGAGCCGACCTTCGACTGTGACCTCGCTTCACGCTGACTGAACCGACACACTCAGGGGGAGGATGACTCCGGGCCAAAGAACTGCCCCCGATCATACTGGCACGATAATATGCCTTTAGATAAAGATAGGATATCAGCTCTTCGATATAATAATCATTGGACGGTGATAAGTTGGAGATTACCCATCGTGTTAGGGTTGCCATGGGTTGTATAAAGCATTGGTAGGCAACCTGTATCTCCAGAGCCACATACGGCTCTTCAGCCCCTTTCCAGTGGCTCCTATTGTTCTCCAACGGTAAAAATGTGTATAAAAAATAAACAAAAAGAAGTGTGTCAGCTAAAATATCTTTATATCCTGACCTGGTACCCTTTTCTTTATAGTTTGCCAAACCACAATAGTGGTGGCTACTAGTCTTGAGCCTCCATAGCTAGCTCCAAAAGTCTTGGAGGAGAGAATTTATTGGTGCATGGACTGATTTCTTTGCTTTCATCACCAACGCTGCTGGCTTACCCATATGCTTGATCTTAGTATTATAAGGGTCAAATATGTTTTGTGGCTCCAGACATTTTTTCAGGTGTAAAATGGCTCTTTTTTGGGGCTATTTATTGCTTTTATATGATAGGAGCAGCTGAAGAGAGACAGGAGTGGGGAGCAAGGGGGATGACGTGCTGCAAAGGGCTGTGGGGTCGAATCAAACCCGGGCTGCTGCATTAAGGACTTATTTTATTCAGCCAAAATACAGTTTGCTGTCACAATAATACAGATCGGTGCATCTCTAGTGTTTCCAGTGTTATTTTCAGAGAAAACAAGCAGCAATAAATATATGAGCGGGTCAATCTCAGCTGTGATTGGTTATTGGTGATTGGTGCCACCTTCTACATACACTCTGCATGTATTTGAGCTTTATCTTACCCACTACCTGTCTGTCCCTCGCTGCAAGCTATCCCATCAGGCTCCTTTTAAGGGATTTGCTGATTCTCACAGAAAATGAATGGGAGCTGACAGCCCCATCCCAAGTTTAGTTATGCAGCATTAATTAATAGAATGAGAGAATCTCTTTTCATGATCTTTTTCATGAGGAAATGTATGCTCTTCTTTAAGATACTTACAATTCTAACAGCAATGAAAAGTACCATTTTTAAATGTTAAATGATTATGGAATTTGGTCATGGAAACTAGACACCTGGAGGTTTTTTGCCATTTATGTCAACTAACTTTGTAAGCTGTAAGTGGCATAAGAGTGGGGTTGAAGGACAGCGAAGGTGGGGAATATTAAAAGCACTAAAAACTATTTCAGTCGTCTTTCTGTTATTTGCATATGTTTTTAATAAAAACCGTAAATGAAACCTCACCACGATGGATTTACACCTTCTGCCAGTTCACACCCTATCACCTCCTCCACTTGTCCTTTCTTTCACTCATCCTTCACGGTGTGACTCTGCGGTCAGTCAGTCTCCAGCTCTCTCTCGGCCTCCCTCTCTCTTCGTGTTTCTTACCTCCTGGTGTCCCATCAGGCCATGTCCGGTGCGTTGCTGACTGGGATCTTGGCCTTAGTGCTGCCTGTGGCGAGCGAGACACGCGAGCGAGTGAGCGAGCGCCGATCCCTGACGGGGCTGGGAAAACCATCATCCACCCACACCCCCGCCCCGAACCCCCACCCCCAGCTCCCACACCTGGCAACTTCACAGCAGCACCGAACACCTAATTGTTTTCATCTGCGTCCCGGTTGGGGTGGAATATAGGTGCTTGAGGGATGACCTCATCACTCACACACTGTACACGAACAGGGTCCAGATAGTGTTTCTGTTATTTCTTTTGCTGCTAATCTGTCGGGTGTAAAGCCATGTGTTTCGACAGTAATAACACCATCGCATCATTGGTGCGTAGCTACATCCTTCATGTGACTGATCATCCTTCAACGTATAAATGTCAACATCTTAAACAGTCATATAGTGTTTGACTGTGTTTGGATGCCAATTTGCTCTCTGGCTGTATGTTTAGTATCCCCCCTTTATCCTTACTTAATGTATATCCTATTAGCTGTATCCTGTTATTTTCTGCTATAGTGATCCAATTTCCTCACAGGGGTCATTAAACTTTCATTTCACTTAATCTAATCTGAATAGCATTTACAAATATCATCCAGTTTGGGGGTACCAGCTGGGGTGTTAGCAACTCAATGAAAAGTATATTAAATTGACTTCCTGTGATTGTCTAAATTAAGGCCAACCTGACCCATCTGGTACTTCAAGCTGTTTGAATAACTGTAAACAACATATGGTGATCAATGTCTGATTCAGCGTGAGAGATAAACTTTCTTGTCACGTTCTCTTACCGTGAATGGCTTGGCGGATCCCTTGTCGTCCTTGCCTGATATGATTTTGGCATTCTGTCTGGTCTCCCTCAATCTCTCGATCGCAGGAGGCTTCACAAACACCACAAAGGGTTTAAACTCTGCCGTCCGCAGGTGCTTTATTGTCTGGACAGAGGAAAAGGAAAACAAATATGAATGTAAAAGCAAAGGAAGGGTGTGAAACGATGCCATCAAGCAAACAAGAAGGCCATTAACCTAATGGCATCAGAACAAGAAAGGTCCTCGTCATCGTGTTGACAATTCATTCAATAGTTGTTGAGATATTTCAGTCTGAACCAAAGTGATGTGTGGAACGACCAACCGGCATTGCCACCTCTAAAACCATGCTGCTAATGTGGCTCAAATCTTAGTTCAAAGTCCACTTAGACTTTGGTTCTGGAGCTTTCAACTGTATCATGGAGTCCTTAGTTTGCTCAGTTTGCATGAAAACGTAGATGTTCCAACTTTCCCTGATTCTGAGCACTTCTTGTCCCCGTTCACTTTTTTTTCATATATTACACTTTGCTCTAACTTTTACTTTATTATTAATTATAAAATTACTGAAATAATCTTTAGGCCTCTAACTCAAATCAATCTGAGATCGAGAAAATAGTATTTGGGTAAGCTGTCACATCTCATGACAGTGGGTCAAGGTTGTCAATAGTCTCAATATTAAGATACTTTTGTCTTTAAAACAATACGATATCTGTTAATAATATATTTGACAGTATCGAAAGTACCAAAGTTATATTAAAAATAAAACAGATCTTCAATCAGAACTATGCCATCCATGACTGAACTATTGGAAATCCAGCATTGTATCAAAGGTTAAGATTCTGGTATCGTGACAACCTTACAATGGGTTACCGCATTTTAAAGGGTCATAAACCAAAAAGGTTGGGAACCACTGGTTTAATGTATGGGTGGGTGAAACAAAAAACAGGCCTCTGGTTATCTAGTGCATGTGGTTCTTTTAGAAGACAGCGGAGGATACATTCCTGTCTACATCTGCCTGGCCTTCTTGTCTCTTCTTTCTGGTGGCAACTGCATGAAACAACGCCACCAATCTGGTTCTCAAGAGGTAGAAGAGAGGTCAGAGTTGGTTAGTGGTGGCGTCAGGCTTCAGGCTCTCCCCTGGTTCTGGCACCGCGATCAGGGCTTCTCACTGTGTTAATAGGCAGTGGGTCCAAAACCACAACTGATAGGAAGATGGATAAAAACCCAAAGGAAGGGCCTGAGAAGAACCACTGGGAAGCATTCATCGCAGCCGAGTCAGCATGGGAGCAATAACATGCTTTGACACTGCCACTATTCTGATCCATGAGTCATGTTAGAGAAGGGGCTCAAAGTAAAGGTAGGGGGGGATGAATATTGGCTTACACAAAACCACAAATGTATGCCAAAAACAAAAAAGCACATAACTAACTGCACATACACCCACATGAGCTTCCACAGACTCTTTCTCACACACTTCGGCCGAGGGCTCTCGGGCTGAGTCGCATTGCCGCTCAAGCCGGGGTGGTTTGAGAAAATGCCAGCCTAATCTATATAATGGTGTATTTGTGCCTGTGTGTCATTATCCACTGAGTAAAAACAAACAGAGAGGAGCTGCTGGGGCAGAGGCTGGACGATACGGGCCCGGCCCTGGATTCATGGAAATTGTGCTCAGGGGGTTTGTCGGGGCTCAGTGACAAGCCGGCCATTTGTGTAGGGTCTGATCACCACCACCCAAGACACATAAGCCAAAGAGGAAATCTTCAAATGGAGGAAATTAGTGGTAATTGCTCCCTCAAAATGCCCCCTTTAAAACCCGCTTTGGTAACCCAGTAAGCAGCCAAGGCCCAGGGAAGAGAGAGAGAGATCTGCTTCCGAGATAGGTAGGGGCAGAGGTGCCAAAGGGCTAAAAATACAGAGAAGAGGGAAGAGAGGGATGGTGGGATGGTGAGATTAGAATGGGATGGAGAGAAAGGGTTTGTGTCACTCACGTGAGGCTGGACATCCAATAGGCACACTTTGTTCTTGGAGAGGACAGATCGTATGGAGTCTAGACTTGTCCCGTAGTAGTTCCCTTTGTACTCGCCATACTCGATGAACCTGAGATGGAAAAAAAAAGAGAAGATTGTTGAGCAAGAAAACACCTTTTCCAAACATCTTTGAGTGGGGATTAGCATCTAATACAACACTAATGTCCCTCGGGAGTAACATTAGAATCTCAGCCTAATCTGGTCGACTGTGTCAGCACACTCCTGAGATTCATCTTCGAAATAATGATATATAAAACCCTACAAATCCACAGAGACAGGAGGATTACTCTTCCAACCGCTGACAGATCTGAAGATAGCATTCTCCAGCAGAACTTAAAAAACAGACATTTTGGCCGCGCATGTTTTTATATAATCTCCGACGCTACTCTTTCAATCAGTAACACCTGTTTGTTCCAGAAGAACCACAAAGCCCCCGAATGCCAAAACCTCCCCTCCTTTAATCCACCAGGGTTTTAGCCCAGAGAGCAACCGCATAGGCGCAAGCAAACAAACACTTTTCCACCAGATAATCTTCCCCCTTTCACACCAATCAACTGTCATGAGAAAAAAAAGCCACCAGCCAGTGTATTTTTAGCTGCAAACAAGAAGGAAAAAAGGCAGCGAGGAGAGTAACGACGTGGAAAGAATTTGGAGCTAATAGGACTGCGTGGTATGCTTGCAGTCTGCTCATGACGAGTGTCGGACAGAATGACTGCCTCAGTGTGACTGATGCCATGTAAAAAGAGAGTTTTATGGTAATTGCCCATGTAAGAAAGTTTTACTCAGCATTTTTTTTAAAAGAAGGGAGACTTAAGCGTCTAACAAACCTCATATTAGGTTATGGGAAATTCATTTAAGAGCTTACAGTAGCCTGTGTCAGAAACTCACACCTTGCAGCGTTGCAGTCGTCAGGAGAAGGTATATAGATTACAGGAAGGCATGCCAGTGGAGGTTCGGCTATATTGAGAGTATGGATTGTTGCCATTTTGACACAGAACAGGGCTTCCCTTGGGAAAGTTGTTCAAGCTAAACACACGTTGTTGTGGCCCCAATTCAGAGACCTTTTATTTCTGCACAGAGCGCATTGTTTCTGCTGCATGCAATGAGGCATAACGCAAACAAGTTCATCTCACTCCTCGTCTACTTTGCTGCCTTGTAATTTCAGCGTGGAGTGTCCCACGCATCCACCCCACATCACAGCTCTGTCACTCACCCCTCCGACTCCCTGAAAAACATTGCATGCCTCGACCTACACCGCAACATGGCCTAAATATACAGCCCCCCTTTTCCCTTCTTCTCTCTGCATGCTCTGACACTCCATATGCACTCACCACCACAGGCTTCCCTCTATGTCATAAGTGGTGCATGTGTGTGTGTTTGCGTGCATAAATGTTTTGTGCACCCTACAGTATATCTTTTTTCCCCCTTTCCAGCTCGTGTGAGACCGGCAGAAAGGCATCAATCATTCTTATGACTATTACAACTTGCATTTCAATTTGTTGGCCGCAAATGTCAAGGCGGGCCGTGGTGTGGCTGGATTCAGAGAGAGCGCCTAAGGAAAGGAGGAAGCAGAGACAGGAGACCTTGGGGCCACTGTCTGGAGATCCGTTACCAACACAGGGCCCGGCCCTGTCAACACCAGCTCACACTCAGTTACAGAGACACACAGACGACAGCAGGGAGGCTGTGTTTGAACAGTGGCAGCAAGTGCCGGACCAGAAAGACTGCTGCTCTCACCGCTGCACTGCCTCTTAGTGGTCCAGAGCACAGATAGATAGATGGGCTCCTCAAATCTCACACATTATGAACACAGTGTCTGTTAACCTTTGAAATAGTTAAAATGACATTAAACACTGTATACATGTGATTGGAATATAACTATGTAATCAGGGCTGAAAGATCAGTTTATTAATCCAATAGTTGGGGTAAGAAGTAGCAATTTTGATAATAAATTATTGGTTTAAGTAATTTATAAAGCAAAAATGTCAAATATTTGCTAGTTCCAGCTTCTCAGATGTGATGATTTGCTGGTTTTCCATTTTATATGTCATTGTAATGGAACTAATTAATTGACAAATAAAAAAACCCAATACTTTTTTAAATGATTATTTAGATGATTATATAATGTTTGAGACTAAAGTTATAATAATAATAGAAAAAAAAGTCCTAATAGTTTTAGAATAAAGTGGTAACATATTAAACAGTTTATGTGTTAAATGGGGGTTGATGGAATGTGGGTGTGGGTTATACATTTCAAAAATAAGCACCACATTATCATAGAGCTGGGGATACTTAAATGAAATGAAACTAAGTGTGTGATGTATGAGTTGTATATCAGAGAGTGTATTGAAGCAAAAAATATTTAACAACTTGGATATATTTACAGTGTGGCTGAAAAACCACAGCATATGGTAGAACCTGTTTAATGGTTCAATGCTGAGATTTCCATGAATATTTTGATTATAAAGCAGGTCTAGATGCTAATAAATACTGTGAAAGTATCAAAATGTTCAATCCACGGACATAAAAACAGCTAGTATTCAGAAACTGTGTCAGACAAAGAGACAAAACACAACACAGAATGTCCTGTTCTTGCGTGAGAAAGGAGATTGAGATGGTTTTTGGTACTTAAAACAACAAATTTATCTAAAACTTCAAATAAAACACCAGAAAAGTATAAAATATGGAAGCTTTAAACTTTGCTGTGTGCACCCTGTGCAGCAGAGGCAGGTTTTACGTTGTTTTAAGTTGAAAAAATTGACATCATGAATATCTGCAGCCCATGCTCACTGTATAAAGTTAAAATGTGAAAGTTGAACAGTGTGTTGGGTCTGTCATTAGTTTATTTCTTCACTTTCACAAACCTACTTGTTGTTGTGGATATCCGTCTCAAAGAGGTGTTTGGAGATGAAGTGGTACTCCACGCCGTCGGCCTCCTGGTTCCTCTTGGCCCGACTGGTGTCTGAGAGAGAGAGAGCAGAGGAGAAGCAGTGATTACCTCAAACCCAGACTGTCTGACTCACTGTTGGGGCTGAAAGCATCTGAACTGAGCCCCTTATTAACATCGCTGGAAGTCTGAAACACAGCACGCTGGGCCATGCCAACCCTTGTATATATTATTGTGTAATAGCACTATAAAATACACAACCTGTAGTGCTGCAGCACTAAACTCAGACACTTAACTGACATTCAGCAGTGGTTTACTGGCTCTTATTAAATTTGTCTCTTGTAATGTGGCTGCAGTGCCTGTAGAAACAGAAGCAGTAGCGTTAGCCTCCAGTGTTAGCCGCTGTAAGGTAATTGAGTTTGGGAGCTCTCATTAACATCAAGTCTCTACATTTACTTGGCAGTAAACCATAGAGCTTTGCTGTAAAATGGGTGGTGGGGGCAGCACGTGGATGGAACGCGAGCAGACAGGGCTGGTGGATTTGCAAGGGTCAAGGGGTCGACTCACACTCCGGCTCATTTCAGGAGCGCTTCAAAGGTCAGAGGGGAGAGTTACGCACCCGTCAGACACTCTGACCAGCTCCAAAACAAACTATTAAACTTTTATCACCTGCAACCAAAACTGCCAAGTTCTGCTTTACTCTCCTCTGAGTTGTTCTTTTCGTCAGCATGTGTTGAGGCTGTGCCCTGGTAGTGGACCAGTGCCTTTCCTTTGTATGGTCCAGACTGATCTACAGGGTTCATGGAAAACCAATGGTGTGATTTATACAATGTGTCACTCGCTTGAGAGGGAAAGACAGCCATAAATCCAACTGTGGTGGAGAAGACACTGAGGAAGATCAATGACTTTCTGTCATCAGCCCCAGACAACAGTAGGAAAAACACGAGGAGAAGGCCAAAACAGCCTTGTCATAAGATAACATATACTTATACCTCCCATTCAGAAACGTGTAAGACACAGTGCCAGACAGCCCCTTGGTAGTTAGACCAACACCATCCACCATGCGTTATTTTGGCATCTGTTTTGTGGCACAGAAAATAATTACAGTGCAACAAAAGAATGTGCATCCGTTCAATCCCAAATCATGGAAAATATCAGTAAACTTGGACTGGAATCAAAATGTTTAACCCCCTACTCTAATGGCTTATTGCAGTGCTCCTTGTGTTTCTTAGACGGCTGGTTTACATTTTACAGCGACAAGCAAAGAGAAAGGGAGAAAAAATTACCCAAATCTTAACCGGGGCCACAAGCCGGTGGTCTCCAAAGCTCCGGTTTTCAAATTAACAAAAAAGGGGTAACGCTTTCGGGCTTAATCCGAAACAACAGCAAGTGTTAAACACATCCATGTGTCCATTGGCAGCGATCAAACATTAAAAAAGAGGGAGACGAGATACTTTCCGAGTCTCTTTCCTCTCAATGAGAGCCAGGACTTGTGCCATACGTCCTCTATATGGGTCAGAATCAGGCTGTCTGGGCTCTATTAAACTTAGAATCACAGGTCACATTTGAGAACAATTAACATGCCTTGTGGAAAAAACGGCCCCACCGATGGGATTTTAATACCAGGGACATTTCAAGTGTCAGACTTTGACTGGGACACATCCATTATGCCACACGGCATGTAACAAACACAGTAATTAATATCAGTGGTCCTCATATTTCCTTAAACTCATGTCGCAGTTTCCCTCCAAGCCCCAGATGGTAACTACGCAATTACTAATGCCACTGCCCTGCTTAAATGTATAAATCAGAAAGATTTATTTGTCCCAACATGCTGGCTTTGGGACATCAGAACTGCAAAAAAGTAAAAAGTTTGCAAGGCTCTGAGAGCAGCAGGGCTGGATGGTGTTCAGAATTATGGCAAGCTGTCGTTGGGTCCTTAAAAGGAGAAAAAAAGGGAGGAGGCAGCGGGGGAAAGAGACAGAAAAAGACGGAAAGAAAGTGAGAAATAAACTGAGAAAGAAAGGAGAGTGGGTAGCTCAGTGCCAATTGGTGAAGCAGTGGAATGGCATGTCTTCAGGAGGTAGAAAAACGCACGCTCCTCCATCATTGGGAGCTTGTCAGGCAGACTGTGAAAAGCTGACAATTACACAGGAGGAGAAACAACCGCCTGGGCCTTGAGAGGAGCAGCCGTGCTGCCTGAGAGCTGCCCTGGGTGTTACTCACTGCCAGACAGCTCCCTCTGTGTGTGTGTGTGTGTGTGTGTGTGTCTCAGACTGGACCTTCATCGCTCAAACAGTACAAGCACTCTCACACATTGCAAAAACTTAACTGGAGCAAGAAAGCTAAACATCCTTCACCTAAAGTGATTATTTTGATTTGTTGCTAAAAACTCACAGGGTGCACCGGGGCGCTGTGCTGTCGGAATTTGATCTGGCATCTCGAATGCTTACATTTCTCCGAGAATGTGTTTTCAATGTGTTTGTCTCGGCGGACAGATGTACAAGAGGCTTCTTGGGCACAAATTAATTCAAAAGAGTAGAGAGGGAGGCAACCTGTCCCCATGACAACACAGCTGTAGTGTCAGTTATTTAATGTCTGAGGAGGGCCCTTCCTCTGGAGACAGGTAACACCGATAAATGATCAGTGTCTTCTTCTTGTTTGCTTATTTTATCTCTCTGAGCATCTTGCTGTTTACAGTAAGCTGTCCACACGTACACCGAGTGCTCACTTACAGCAAGATGTGTTTGTTTTCAATTAGAGAACAAGCCAGACTCCATTTACAGAATACAGTGGCTAGGGGTGATTCTTATGTGATACACCTCTCTCTCTCCCCCATTTCCTGTCTTTATCTCTACTCACTATCAAAATAAAAGCAAAAAAATGCCCCAAAATAAGATCTTAAAATATGCATTTTTTAAAGGTAATCAAATAAAAAGATAATGAATTTTATTTTGTCAACTTGCTCTTCATTTTTCTGTTCTAATTAAGATTAAGATAAGACAGAATAAGAGAATAAAGGCAACTGACACTGTATTATTTTGAAGCAAAATGTTCCTTGTTTTGTAAGCCTAACATACAAGGTCCGTCAAAGTCTTCTTATTGTAGGTTGAATAGAATTACTGTATTTGCTGTTGTAGTTTTCTAATGTCCCACAGTCCACTGGGCTTTCTTATAAGCTGATCTAAAACTGTGGTCTGGTAAAAGGCTTATGGTGGACACAATGTGACAGCTGCACACAGATAAGAAAGGAGAAACATGCAGAGAGGAGGGATTGGAAGACGAATGCAACTTAACCTCAGTGGAATGAGTGAACTTACGTGGGATGGTCACACTGAAGTGCTGGGGGTCTGAGATCAACAGTTTCCTCTTAAGCTCATTCAAACCGATGCCTGTGGGCCCTGCACAAACACAAACAAGTAAACACAGCATGAAAATGACAGAAGTCACAGAATATATCAAGACTAAGACAGATACTGCCATCAGAATGTTTTCCCCTCTCCACTTAATGTGGAAAAGTGCACTGCAGAGGCTGACATATACTAACTTTTAGTTCTTGGTATGTATCAACTCCAAAAACACTGGATGCTACTCCTCCCATAATGCAACTTGATAGCTTCTTTCATTAAACCCTTCCGGCAAACCCCCACACCCGTCAAAGTCCAAGACCCCAGCCTGTAACACAGACGTCCTGTTATAAATATGTAGTCTCAAGCCCAAGTCAATATACAGTAACCCTCATCACCAACAGGGTTGTTTTTCTCTTCAGAGCCACAGGACACACACAGAAACAATTCCACAATCTCACTGGTTGTATAGCGCTCATGATGAGTTAACTTAACTTGATGTGTAAAATTGGTGAATTGTCCCTCTAAACAAAAGTAAACAATACACTACAGTGCATTATAACAATACAACTGTACCTTATATATATTATCACTATAGGAGCTATTGTCTAGTAGTTACATATCTAACACTATTTTATTTTACATGCCTGTATGAGCTATAGATCACTATATACTGTAATATATTATATTTTACTTTTCAGTGAGATAGTATTTTCTTAAATGTTATCTCCCTAATATTTTACTTTCTTCTTTATTCATTTCATACAAATAAGTCTTGTTTTTTTTTTACCTTTTGTCTCTGTGCTGCTGTCATGTGAATTTTCCTTCTGGTATCAATACAGTTTTACCTTGTCTAATCTTAAACTGTTCTCTACCTTTCTGTGGCAGTGACTGTGCTTACTGTATTTATAGTCACTGTTTTTTTTTCCCAAGGAAGGGAAAATCTTTCTGTATTTCTGTTATGCAATATTAAATCAATTTACCACAGTGTGAATTTAATTTAATATTCTATTAAAACACAATCAACCCAGTAAAAGCCTGTTGGAGCAAAGATAATTGATTTAATATGATGAAGCTCCAGGAATCCTACAGTTACAGTTAGTTTTGAACCAGTTCCTGTCTCATTGTAGTTTGGCAGAACCTCTAATAAAGGTACACAGACGAGGTAAGGAAGCCTTTTCCCATATTGTTGCAAGTCAGCTGGATTTTCCATCACATCCTGAGTGGGGAAACTGAGGCAATGAGTTGGAGAGGGGAAGACAGGAGAGACTATTGGAGTATTGACTATTGATCCATCTCTGGCTCCACAAGCTGAGTGGCTGTCTAGCATTTAATAGCCAACTCACCAACAAATGAAATTAAATCTGCAGTAGGTAATTTTAAAAAATATCTTTTTTGTGTCATATTTGCTGAAACTTTCCCTATATCCTGACAGTAGCATATGAGACAGATAATCTGTGAAAAAATCAGGTTCCTCTGGCTCGTTCTAGTGCTCCTAATTGCATTTGCAAGAATCCATCGGACCTGAACGAAAACAACCAATCAGAGCCAAGAAATATAATTGATTGTTGAGTCTCATTCCCAGGGCGTCAAATACAGACACTTTGGGACCTGGGAATGAGACTCCACAATCAACTTAACTGATCTTCAAGCCTCCAACACAATGTGTCTTTATAGCTCTCTCGGCTCTGATTGTGGTCTAATCTGGTTGTTTTGGTTCAGGCCCAGTGGATTCTTGCAAATGCCATTAGGAGCACTAGAACGAGCCAGAAGAAGTTTCAGAAAATATGACAAAAAGTTATTTTTCTAAAGAAATACCTACTGCACCTTTAATTTGGATATTAAGCTTTGGTTTGTACAAATAAATTAATGAATAAATTAAACATACAGTATTTAGGTCCTTATTTCAAGCACAAATGGAGTTAGTACCTGTAAATGCAGGGATATAGATGTTTTTTCAATCTAAGAACCTTGTTTATACTGGTTTTGGTTTGATGGAAGTCACTGAATCAATATCCAAATGTTCTCTTTTCTTTTACAGTTTTCCCTCAGTCTCTTTTTCTACTCTGTCGCCAAAAGCCATTCTCCAGTATTTTGGTGCTCGTTACCAGGGAGCAACATCATCCTAATTTGAACCGACTGGCATCAGTGTCTCTGACGAACTGGACAAGAAATCAGTTTTGGAGTTACAAGTGCAATGGCTCTGCGTTTCAGTGTTTTACCACAGCTCTGCCGTGTGTGGACAGTTAGAGACAGCGCTTGATCTGGGCTCGAGATTCCTCGCATGCCTGACGTTCTGGGCAGGCACTACAATCGCATCAAACCCTATTGGAAATTCGTTTCTCCAGGCAAATGTGTTTAGCAGGCCGCTCCTCTAAAACAAACGGACAATGAGTTCACTCAGCGATGCGGATAAGGTGGAAAGAGGGAGAGGGAGAAAAAAAATGCTCTGTATTTCTAAGAGAAAGAGTGCTCCTGTTTCCTCTCGTGCTATCTGCGCCGTTCCTCTACATTTCATCTGGTGTGAAGCAGGAAGGTTTTGGAGTGATCCACAAGCTGATAAATAGGTGTGGACAACAAGGCTCTTTTAAGTATAATCTCTGAACACTGGCAGCCTTCACACACAGACAAATTCACACCCTATGCTTTCCCTTTACTTCTGCACCCAGCAACACATGGTTTGGGTCCTATTGTGCGACTGCTGTAAGTGATAAAAGCTGTTTCCTCAGCGCACTCACACACTCCAATGTGAATTCAAAAAGAGGGAGAGAGAGAAAAAAAAAATAGAGAAAAATACCCCGACCCTCTTTGGACCGACGGCGCGAGGCATTCTGTGGTTACTGTCTCACATAAACAAGCACATGGCCAAGCTAAGACAGCAATCAATCTTAGCTGGGGAGAGGGAGTTTTTCAGCGAGGAAAAAAAAGTCACAGAACCTCGGGGTTGAGAGCCTGGGTGATTTATTAAGATGAGGAAATGGAGTTCATTTTGAATTTGTTTCGGGAGCGCGGGAGGAATGCAGCGCCGCTGTTTGAACAAGGCTGTGGACCAATGTTGTTGTAGGTGCTGAAGGTGGCAGAGCGTGGTAATAGAGGCTCTTTTATGAGCCCTATCACACTGGTGCAGACAGTCCTCCCGGCAGGCCACAAACCTCCACACAAGCTTGTTTGCTTGAATCTGAGCGTGGATATCAGGGCCCGGGCACAGGGGACCGACACAGCCGTTTGTGCTACCCTTGGTATGACTAACGGCCCCACTTCTACATGCTTGTAAAACCATTTTCACCTTGTACATCGCTCCCTTGCTTGCCACTTGTGATATCAATGATGCATGGCAGCAGGCCTTCATCAGAATACCTCAGATGGCGATTAAAGCTTATTCCAGCTGTACCACCGCCTGCCAAGGGGGCCCAACAGGCCCACCACCAGGTCTTTTACAAGCAGAAGCAGTGCCCTGTGGTCCTGTTCCATCGTCTGACCTTAAACACGCCACCTCTTTGTGCATTGTTTGTTTCAAACAATGCTCCAATACAACAGCAACATTATAAATCTGAACGCCACAATAAAAAAAGTCATAACTCTTACAAATTTTCTGAACTAAGCTGCAGTATTTACATTGTGTTTATGTGTTTTCTCCTCCCCCATTTGTCTCTCTCGCTGGCCCTCTTGCAGTACTTCTGGCCTTGCAGATTGCCGTGCCAGTAAAAGTGTCAGACTTCATTACCGCACTCATTAGAGAAGTTGCCTTTAATATCGCAAGCTTAATAACTTCCAGGCCAAGCGCGGAGCACATCGCATGCAGTTTGCGCCGAGAGGCCGAGGCCGGGCCCAACGAGGCCCAGCTACGGGCCCCAGAGCCACGACCCGACCTCAAACCTCCCAGCCTGCCTCACATCCAGGGCAGGGTATATTACAGCATTACACACAGTGCTGGCGTTGCTGCTACCACATTTAAAGGATGACAGTGGTGCAGTGTGGTAACCACAGATCATTAACAATACACTGCTACTACATTTTCAACAGGAGGGAAGTCTTCAAATAGAGCTCCAATGTTATATATTTGGATACCACATAAGCATTCACTTAGGCATCAGTATATTTGAAATATGTTAGGGCTAAACCCCAAACTACAAACCTTCAATTCATCAAAATATTACTCTAAGTTCAGTGTGTCAAGTTACAAGGAAATGTGGAAATCAGCACACCATTTTGTCAGGTTAAATAATCAGATTTCTTTCAAAACCATCAGTGGTTCAGTCAAACTATGCATGCACTATGTAAAATATATATTTTTATTGGCTGTCTGATTTAAAATGTATAAAAACACAGATAAGCATCTTGATTTGTCTTTGAAACAGATCTCAGACTGTGTGCTCCATTTAAGTGCAAGAGGTGGGCAGCAGGTCATTCATTAGTGGGTACTGTGGACCTGTGCGTCCATATTAATAAAGAAACGCCTTTAGGCATTCCTGAAAAGATTTCTCCACATGTTAAAGGCGGTCAATGGGCCGCAGTAAGAGCAATAATAAGTCGTCTTTTTTTACTTTTTAAAACCAAAAACACAAGAGCAGAAGTGGAACGGATTAAACAGAGTGTTTATCTGCTCTAACATAAGCTGCAGTTGTTAGCATGTCCAGCTAACTAGCTTTCTACTTATAGGAGTATACAAGCTACTTCCAGTGAAGTGAAGAGCGGCATATCATTAGCCAACTATGTTATTATGTGGGGTTACAGATTATGTTCGAAAAAATGTAGTAGCACATCCACTGTGTCCAACTGTGTGGAAGCATAATATCATGTACATCACAGAGTCCAACTCACTAATGCTAGCTTCATTATGCAGCTAGCTATAGCTGATAAAGTCTGCTGGCTGTTGTAGTTTCAGAACACAACATTTAAAATTGGTGGCTTTTGTCTACCTCTGTAATCACAGACTAAAAGTACAAAAGATTTTGAGTGGTATTTCTGCCATCATTATTGTACACTGTATATGTGCTGTGAAAGGTCAATGGCTGGGATTGAAAAAGGGCAGAGAACAGGTCTGAAGCTGAAAATATGCAGCTAGGACTCACAACAGGGGCTGAAGTTTTCAAACCAAACAACTTGCTTAACAGAAAAGAAGAAGAGCAGATACTATTAGTGGAGAGTGATTTTCTCAAGCGTTAAAAACATTGCCCTTACATTGAGGAATAAAGTGTCGCACCCCTGAACAGAAAAAGACAAGAGCAGTTACAGAGAAAAGATCTCTAATAAGAGAAATCAAGAGAGTCCGGTGGGAGGAGGAAGGAGAGAGGGAGGGCAGAGAAACATAAAGCAGATCTTTCCTTGGCCCTCCGCTTCGTTACGTGTGAAATTGTCCATAGGTTGTCCTCCAAATTATGGAAGTTAATTGAAAATATTTACATTAGCATGACAGGTGGGAGAGGTTCAGCATCCTCTGTGTAAGGCTGTGACATGCTGGCAGGAAAATGGGCTCGCTAATTAGCAACACGTCTGATGAAGTCCATGCTCTGCGTGGAACAGTTAAGTGAACCAAGGCCTGGTCAATCAGGCTCAGGAGCACACCTCTGCAGAGAGCATGCGTGAGGAAAAAAAACAACAACCTTGAAACCTTGTTGCCAGTGGTGTTCATTTCTAGATTAACCTCACGAATGTTTAAAAACTCCTTTTGGAATGTCTGAAATGAAAAGATGAAGAGTGGAACAGACTTTTGAGTCCTCATTCCTTGAGTGTATCTCGTCCCTCGATGAATTGATTGGAAGGAATTGCACTCAAAATTTGGGGAATTTTTTGTTCCATCTGTGTCTGGGACATTCTTGTCATTCTTTGTTACAAGTAACAAACCTAAAAAGGAAAATGTGGAAAAGCCTAGAACTCACTGATGGTACAGTTGGTCCTGAGAAAGATTTAAGTCTTTACTGTTGCACCTGGCTTAGCATATTGTTCCAGCATTCACTGGCAACGCTCGTCTTCCAACCACAAACACAGAATGAGAAACCGCTAAATTCATTTCAAGACCTTGGCACGTTATGAAGCTCTTTGGAGGGCTTTGTAACACCCGCTCCTCCAAGCAAGTGTTAACAATTCCGTCGGCTCGAAAAAGTGAAAGGACATCGAGAGCGAGGTGCCGTAAATGAAAGCAGTGAATGTGACTGATTAATATGAGGTCTGCTCCGTCGATTCCACTGGGTGCTAAAAGTCTAAATTAAGGAGGCCCAGGATGAATGCGAGTGAGTCCCTGCATTGGGAAGCTCATTTCTGGGTTGCGGGTCGTGGGAGGGCAAGGCCAGGCCACCTGGGGCTTCTGGAGCTGCAGAACTCTGAGTCACACAGTCGTCTGCAAGTGTCACTACGCAGGGAGGTGATGGATTTTATTAAAATCTATGGTGCCAAGTTTAACAGCAGTAGAACCCACCCCCTAATCTCAAAAACAAAGTGTGAGGTAAGCCGTGACATGCTTTTTTTTAATAAAGTTTTTTGAGTCCAGATCTCTACTCACCCACTAGGACCACCAGCCTGTGTTTAGCTCCACTCTGCCTGCGGTACGGGGTGACCTCCTCGTACGTGGGCACGTCCGCCATGTCGTACATTTCGCTCTTCTTACACTCGTACATGGACTTGTTGGTCTTCTTGTCCCGCCTGCTCAGACGGAAGCTTCTCCTGAACCCAGCTGGAAGACCGGGATGAAATGACAGTGGAAGGGAAAGGAGACAGAAACAAAACACATTAATCTGTAAGGTACCAAAAAAAAAATCACAAAAATGTTTGTGTCAGTATGCATGTCTATGACGGTGTCTGAATTCCGACACCACTGTATGCACACATGAGCCCGCAGCTGTGCAATTCGATTTATGGTCGTTTCAGTGTCTTGGCAAACACCTCCACGGCTCGATGTCCAATACCTCATATTGTATTGTGCAGCTCAGTTTTATGACAGCTATCTTTGCTGTAGGTGAAAGAAGAACAGAGTAACACTCGGCCAAACAGTTTCCCTGGATATCACCCTCAAACACTTTACTCACATTTTCCCCTGGTGACATGTAGTTGACTTTCTTTCACTTCTTCCGTGCATGCACATATCTCTTGGAGACTGTGGTGAGGTTTTAAGGCTTTTGAGTTTGTGAAAAGCTATACACAACATTACTGGCTGTTTTCTCATTAACAATTTTTCCGCTTTAATCAAAGTAGGAGTGACTCATGCTTGTGTTTCTTTTATATTTGTCTTGTGGTCTCTAAAGCCAGATTTCTGCTAAGGGATCATTGTGTGAAATGGAAGAAACTGGATGTTTTTTTCGTGTAATTGACTGCTACAGTATGTGAATTTACTGCTGGTTGGTCAACGGTTGTTCACATAACTGTCAGGCTATGATTTGCAATTCGTTCACATTGCAATTTTAGATAGCTGTGAGGTATGTGTGTGTCATTTAGTGTTCTTTGGCTGGCCGCAAAGGAAAGGTTGCCCTGTGTGTTCGGGTCACTTTACAACTTCTGTCATCTCTGATTGGTTTATGGTGTCCTCCGTGACTGCTGGCGCAAAGGCGTCTTGACATACTGATCCAAGAGTGTGCACGCCTCGGTCTGATAATCTATGACAATATCAAAAGGAGACATTTAGCCCTAATTTGAGGACTACGGTTTCATATTTATGACAGATGTTGATTGAACCTAAAAAGAAGTAAATCTCCAGAACCCAGGATGTCTAATATCCTATTTCGGCTTACGGTCATGGGTTGTTTTCTGCCTTCTCTTTCATTATTGCAGTTTTTAATCAGTAATTAATGAACTCAAAGATATGACGCAAGATGCTAGGGTAAGATTTAAGACAGCATGAAAATTATGGACTGAGAGAAGAATCAGGAGTTGAAACAGCTCCTGATAGCCGCCCCCTTAATACTTTCCACAACATTTTCAAACCACTGTGGCGCTGTGCAGACTTGCAGCAAAGAAAAAGAGTCTGCATTCTTCTCAGCTTGTTCTTTTCCAAACAGTCCTTTAATAAGGGATGGAGCTGCGGACCTATGCTTAGTTACAAATGAAACACACTGTAAGTCATTGGAGCAGAATAATAATGTTTTTGCATGAGCTTGTGTATACGTATGAGCGTACACACGCGCCCGAGTACTGAATATAGTGTTACACTGAACATTTAGGGCAGACTTTGTTCCACTGTGGGCAAGTTGTGGCTTACGTTGTCTGTGCCATTTCTCCTGTGGTTAATCTACTCATTCAGCACCCTCAACCCCCCCTACCCCAACGCAGGGAGTATTAGCCTCTGCCACACAGTGGAAAACACACACCGCTCATCTGCATTTCTTCTGTAAAGACATCAAACTGTAACCAATATCCACAAGGGTTGACATCATTACAATAAACATTAAAAGTATAATGTTAATGATATCCTATTGAAAGCAAGCAGTCAATTTTCTGAAAGTTCAAACCCAAAACCCCACTCTGGTCAGTCATTTATCACAACGTAAACACACTACTGGCTAATTAGGCTTTAAGTAATACTATGAAAGTCATTAATTCTATCTGTATTAAGAGTTTGACAAGCTGCCATCTCATTGGCTCAGGCCAAGGGCAATCGCCGCTTATTTCCACAGAGTAGGCAGGTGCACAGGGATTCATTACGAGGCTCTACAGTTAATATAAATTGCCATCCCTCAGCTGAGGGGGGCCCTCTAGTGCCGCTCTAGATCACTTAAACCCTTCTAGACAGCTCCATCCAAACAATGGGGAGAATGCTCCTGCCCTCTCTAGAGCTGCCTAGGGTAAACAAATTAAAGCCTTGTGCAGCAGTGAGCACCACCCCATACCTCCCCAACCCCCCCCCCCAACAACCATCTCATTTTCAGTACTGATGGAGACTGAATTAGACAGAGGGGATGGAAATTAATGTGATCCAGAATTAAGGACTGATTCAAGTCCAGTTCAAATGGAGAAAGTCTGCCTGTTTGTCATGAAAAGCCTCTGGTATGTTGGAACAACAACATGTTTGTCACAGCATGATTCAAGCATAAGGCTTACTAGCAGAGAAGGAATGTATGATATGTGTGGCACCGAGATCCAATACCTCTTTCAATGGTTTGACAGGTCAAATCAAATTTGTTGACAATAGTTCTGTTTTGAATTTCGCTGGAATGAGAGTGGCGGTGTCCTGGTGTATTTTTCTGCAAAAGAGTGTTCTGTGTCTTGGGGTATGGAGTTAAAGTTTCCTTGCTTAAGTCCCACACACACACGCACCTCCTAATGGTGTGCACCAGGCTGTGACTGGGTAATTGCCAAAACTGCAACTGAACACTTACGTGTGTGCACACACACACCATCTCTACTCTCTCTTTTTCTCACACACAGACACTTTGATTCAAATCCTTTCAGTAAAACAGAAACATGAAAAAAGTGGAGGAAAATAAGATGAGCACATTTAACGCAGTGTAAACACAAGCTGAGACTACGCACAGCCATACACACACAATTGCTTGGACGTCGCCAGCAGTCCTGCAAGCCCATTTTCCAGTATGATAATATCTAACAGCCACGTAGGAAATTCAGCATGTGCGTAAAGAAAGCGCCCGGAGGCCTCTGCAAACTGTGAATACAAACTGCCCACTCGGACACTAACATCCTGTGCTGCAATTGCTACAAACCCGCACCTGTAAAAGACATGGCTGCAACTGTAAAAGAAAAAAAGTACAGTGCATTAAGACAAGTGTCCATAAAAAAAAACAGATGACTCAAAAAGACTCAAGTCATGCATTTGCCAATGGGTGTCTGAAAGAAGAGAAGCCTGAGAACAATGCAAGCATCAGGTCTTCCAGACATCACGCGTAGGCGATCAGTGAGATGACAACACAGAGAAGAATAAAAAATGACTGCCATTTTCCCTCCAATCAAACTTCATTTTCTGCAGAGAGGGAGAGAGAAAAAGTGCGGTGAAGCTGAAAGGGAGGCTCATAGTGAAACCACCTGTTGCGAGGCCCCAGTGTAGTGAGGGCCGCCATCTAGGGCCTGTGGCCTAACTATAGGAGACTGTGCTGACAGCTCCAGTGCCATCCGGGCTCTCCCGGTGGGGGCCCTCTCTCATCTGGACTAATGGAGACGACATCTATGGAATTAACCAGGCATGGCAGCTGGGGATTAAGTGAGTATTACACTCTCGGCTCTATGCCGCACGCTGCGGTTTAACGCAGTAACACTTAGTCCTGTTCGTGGGCACCAAATGTGGGAAGCATTACCGGCTCTCTCGAACTCATTATGCGTGCCCATTACTGGCTTGGTTGGAAGGGATGAGGAAGGCTCATGGTAGGCAGCGAGGGAGGTGGAGGACGCTTTCCACACTGTCAGCCATTATTACCCCAAGAGTGAAGAAAAGGAAGAGGAGCGTTGCCACTCATAATGACAAAAATACAAAAGCCTGGGGCAGACAGAAGGACTGCTCTGCTTGATATATCACCAATTTGCTTTGCCTGCATAACACAAGGAAACATGAACATGCCCAGATCTCTGGAGATCTGACATTACTGTAAAGACAAGAAGTAGAGCCATGTCACTGTGGGCCAACATAATGTACTGTAAAATGCCTCCAGAGGATTCAAGAAGGTCTCGAGGAGATGAGAAGAGAGGAATTGGGAGAGGAATCAGGAGAGAAGAGGAAAGGAATTGGGAGAGGATTCAGGAAGAGAGAGAAGAATGCTAAAAGGGCAGCAAGTAAAGAGAAGAAAGTGGACACATCCAGATAGACAGGCGTGTGTCCTTCAAATGCTCCCTCCACACAACTGCTAACAGGCATCTGTGAAAAGGATTATGGTAGTAGTAAAGTTTTTAATGTATCTGATTGTATCAAACGTTTAAGTATTTCTGGACAACAGTATGTGTATACAGTATCCGCCTCAACCTCTGGACTTTAGGGACGTTAACAAAGCAAGTTTCAGTGAAATTTCAGCCTAGCCGGTGCACTTCACTCCTTTACTAATAAACGCAATGAAAGCAAGAGGTAAAGTTCGTTGGTGTGACGTTTGAAATATGTACGTGTAGCAGTCCACCGTGGTGAACTCATTAGAGTGTTATCTGGGGAGAACACATTCTGGGAGTAGTTTCCACAGCCCCCGCACTAAGCATTTGGAAAGTGGTACCCAACCCAAGTGTTACAGGCTTATACGGTGGAATAGGGCTCTAGACCTTTGGCTGCAAGAGGTCCATTTGTGTCGAGAGCTATTTGTTTTTCCCCTCCGTCTTATCCCACTGCTCTTTGGGCTCAGGAATGCCTCGTCTCAAAACGATGCCTGATGTCTTGTGTGTTGGCAAAAAAAAAAAAAAAAAAAAAAAGCCACTATCAACATGCCAAAAGAGGTCTCTGAGTGCCAAAAGTACTAAGGCTAAATGCCTGCTTTCCTGTTTGTCTCAACAGTCTGATGTTCAGACAGAGAAGACGCTCTAAAACAAAACCACAATCAAGGAAATTCCACGTCTCTTTTCCGAGTCTTTAAACAGCTGGAATAGTTTGTTGCTAATGCTGATAAAAGCACACCTGTTAAGCCAGTGCATATACCTGCTCCGATAGTATCCAAATGTTGGATATTTATGAAAATGCGTATCATTTCAATCTTATAAAGTAAATTTCCCTCCTGTTTGGACCCAGATTGGGGGAAAAACTCACTAATCCCAATGTATTGGCTCCTACACGTCCACAACTATTGAACCTGCAGCCTGATGAACTCATCTCATTTTGGAAATGGAGCGTTTTTATTTCAGTTTATAACACTTTTCCATTTTTTCCATAACTTGGACATAATTGGATCGTGAGGGGCTGATGGATATCCCAGCCCCCCTCCGTTCAAGCTTTAACTGATTTGGAGCTTCTTGCATGCCCTCCATCCACCCGTCTTTCCCTGAATGTTCAGTGTGTGACTTTTGGGAATTTTGGGATTATGTTAGTGAGAGTGTGAGGTGTCACCGTGCCTACGCAGCCTTATCACAGCGCAGTGGATTTTCTGCTTGTGACTCAAGGCGAGCGCACTGATGGATCACCTCAAAAACAAATCTCTTGGTGCACCTGGATGCGACCTGGGTGTCCAGACTACTCTCAATTCTCTGTGCGGAAATGAAAGTCTCCAAGCACTGCTGTCTAGAAAGACCTGATAAGTAGGCGTCACTGGAGGCAGTTTTCCTCCTCATGCTCGAGGATCACTTTTGGCAAAGTACTTTACAGACGTTGCATCACTGAGAGAGGCATGAAGGGAAAACAAACCAAAAACTAAGGACAACAACTGCCTACCCCCTCCCACCTCCTCCTTTATTTCCCCATGCAACCTCAGTAGCATTGCAAAAGCATCTGTAAGTTCTAGGATTTCAAACTTTTAGGGACGGGCCAACTCTAAATCATACAACCACATCCAACAGGCTGAAAAGCCATGCAGCAAGTACTCTCATAGAGAAGATGTTATTATAACTCAGAATTTTTTTTCTTCTCCTCCTCCCGAGGTTCTCTCATTTCAGTTAAACCTCGTTCTGGGCTGCTGGAGTCGAGAAATGCTGCTAACCCGCTAGAGTGCTGGATGTTGTTTGGGTACCAAGGAGGAAGAGGAGAGGCTGAGGTCATTGACCTCATGGAGGAGGCAGGGTGACAGTAAGGGCAAGCCTGAAGGGGACAGAAAGGAGTGGAAAAAATGGACTGGTGTTTGGCATAGTTCGGCCTAGGGAAGTGACCCTGATTGAGCTTGGCAGACATGGCTCAAAATCAGTATTTATAAACTCACATGTGGACTGGATATCCTGTGAAATCTGGAGTCTAAACGCTGTAGTGTGCAGAGAGAGCTCTGAGGCCAGTTCACCTCTTGACCTTAACATCTGAATATAGACAGAATGGGATACAGAGAGCAAGAGAGCGACAGAAAAAGAAATAAAGAGACAGAAATGAGAAAAAAAAGGGAAATGGACAGACAGAGGATTCGTGCATGAGCCAGCAAGTACGGCCTGTGGTCCTCCAGAGGGACGATACCTTATGATTTGTCGGGAAAATGACAGTGGTAATAAAAACATGATGGGGAACATTTTCTGTACAAGACAGAGAATTGGAAGCAGCTCTCTGGAAAGGGCTGCAGAACCAAAGCGGGCCACGGTAATTGTCATTAAGTCTGACCGGGACCACATCAACGAGACCGGCCCTCTGCCGGACCTCCAGAACAAAGCGTGGAAAACAAGCCGTCCTTTTAACCCAAATCCATCCAGAACCGTTCTCAAAGATGTCCTCAGACCCACAGCAGAGGCAGAACAGGATAACTACTACATTCTGCAAATCCATGACATGATCTGCCAGTGCACTCATGCTGTCAGCAAAGGAGCAGAAATAGCACCCCATAGGCTAGTGTACCACTACAGAGCTACTCTTTGTGTTTTTACATGGGAGTACAAGTTGAATCAGTTGTACCAAGAACACAGTGAGCTTTAAAAGAATATGTCAAGCACATTATGAAAAACCGGTAACTATTTCTCAGTGTAACATGGCATGGACTACAAAGCGTGATCTATGAAGGGAGGGCTAAAGGATCAGGGAAGCATGGAGAGGAACTCTAAAGGCCTTCACTGCATCAATGGAACAGCCACATCAAGAGGGCAGAGGACAAAGGGAAGAGAAGAAGACAACATCTCTCACCTAGGTGGAATCCGCTACTATAGTCAGCGTCCTCTGGTGATGAGAAGAGAAAGAAAGGAGAAGCCAGAAGAGAGGCACAACATCATGTTAAAGAGAAAAGTCAAAAATTATGAGACACCTACCCCTCTTACTACATACTGGGAAAGTAAAAGAACAAATCCACAGAAATACATGAGAAATAACACACAGGTACAGTTAACAAGACAGAAATCAGATTTGTTTTTTGTATTATTCATGTTGGTAGAGTTTATGTTAATGAAGTCTACTTGTCCAGAGTGATAGCCATAGATGTAGCGGTAAATAAGAGAGGTTAACTATGACCTCCAGCTCTTCTCTATTCTTACCTATAAAAATAATACAATGAATTTACTTAAACAAAACATAGGATACCAAAAAACATTAACATTAAACTGAATTCAGTTATACAATCCACGACACCCCTGGCCATTGCTTTGGATGTTTTTAGGAAATCTATGAATAATTTAGTATTATGAGTGAGTTCGGCGGGCGGAAGATTACTGGAGATGTGAAGGAATGATTCTCCAAATGATGTCCACTCCAATGAAAATGACAAGTTAGCTGGTGAAATATGAGACTTTGTACAAAGCAAGCGCCAATAACCTGCAAAATCTCCACAGGTTTTAGAGGAGAAATTGACAGTGACGTCTGATGTTCCCCTTTAAGAGCTATTAGCTTTGACATGAGAAGAGAGGCCAAATGAAAACAAGAAGGATGGAGAGCAGAGGTGAGAGGTAGACCTTTCATTACACACAAAAATCATAAGGGGCAACCAATCACAAATGGTTTCACTGTTTGTGTATTGCAACACTATCAGCCAGTGACCTATCAAGTTAGATTCAATGGGAGATGTCAGACAAGAAGTACCTTCAATCTCCTCAGCTGTGAGTGCAATAGAAGCATGGAATAAAAATGACTCACAGTTAGGGGAAATTTTAGATTACAAGAAGTAAGCTAAGGGAGGAGAGGAGAGAATAAGAAGAGAAAACCTACCAAACTCAACAGCCACATCATCTTAGAAAAGCAAACAAAAGACAAACAAATGACAAAAAGAAGAGTTAACATCCTAATTTCATATGTGAAACACTCTAATTTGAGCTATATACAGTTAAGTTTGTGTTTAAAGTACACTAGTATACAATACTCTCCATAATAAAGTATCATTTTGAGCAGTCATTTCTCATACAAAATTGAAATAGCTCATAATTCTATTTCATTTTGTTATATTTGTGAAAAATGCTCAGCTCCACTATCATACAGTAACATCAATTACTCTGCGCTATTGTTTCTATAAGTTAAATTACTACATTAATTTCATATATTAAAAAAATAATTCCTGACTCAAGGTCCACTCACTAGCTTTTTCTGAAGCTTTCAACTTCAACTCAAGATCATCAGTGGGTGAAGTATCACATGAATATTGAACTTCGGAGGTAGTTTGTAACCCCAAACCAAAATTCTACCAGGTTACGTGATGAAAATCCACGTTAACAACATCCACTGATGAAGACAACAACATGCAGTTGAAAGCTCCAAAAAGACTTCTTAGCAAACTATTCTAACAAACTATAAGAATGAACTTTCACACTCTGCTAAACAACGTTTCTACTGTTTCTATTCTGATAGAAGACATATCCATTGTTACCTAGTGAGACACAGTCTGGGGTACATGTCTGTGGTGCATCCACTGAGACTTCACAGAAAGAAACACATTTAGATTAAGAGCCTCCAAAGGGCTACCTAATATTGATACATTGCTCTGGAGTTTAGACCAAAATAATAAGAGGACCATAAACCGGAGTGAGTTATACAGTAAAGCAGTTCATTTTAATTTAAGGTAGCTTTTGAAATGACTCCAGATGTTTAAGAGCGCCATCCAAACAGCTATAAGATGATGGTTTCAAAATGGTAGCCGATGCATGATCTGGCTGTATTTGGTTTGAGATGCCGTGAACATTTGGAGGCACTTATAAATGTTTCCTCCCCTTCACGTGTTCCCATTTTGGCCAAACAAGGTTAAATCAAAACATACATAACACCATCTCCCACAGCATGGGGCTCGCCTTACAGCACCATGTTCATTTCCCAGAGCGCACCGCAGCTCAGGGAGATGTTACGTCACAGCCGGAGTTAATGACTAGCCAAAACAGCAGTCAGGACCGATCACTGCAAAGGTGGTTTCGTGCTAGAAACATCAGGCCTGAGAGCGGTGACTGTTTTGAAGTGTGGAGCCAAATGTGTCTTTATCTGACATCTTGTTTCACATGTTAGTGTTCACGGCAATGCTCCTACTGATGTTGCCCTCCTCTCGTTGTAATGGGACGTTTTAAGTTGAACCAGCACCTAACCCACAGTTTGAGTAGGATGAGAGGTAATTGTAGAGGGGAAGACAGAGGGAAACTTGAAAGAGGAAACAAGGACAATATGAGAATGATAAAGATATCTAAAATCCTTCCAAGTGCTGCCCTTATTACACTCTGGAAGGCTTTCATCTGGTGCCTATCTGCCACAGGAATGGTTTGCATTGCCTAATGGCCTTGTAGCCTTGAACAGCAACGTTCCTAGTCTAATGAAACACCATGCGATAACACTGCAGAATGTAAATCGACAGGGCATGGCCTATCTGCAAATGCTTAAATGGTGGAAACAAAACCTTGTCTTTTGCCTTTTTCTGAGAGTGCATTTTACCCGCCTGCCCATAGAAACATTTTGAGAGCACTGAGAATGAGCTGAAGTCATGATCTGATGTGAGCATATGTGGACGGCCAGGCCTGCAGTGATGGTGGCAGCCAAGCCTATCATTTAGTGAGCACAGGGAGCCATGGCCGCCCAGATTGCGGCCGCCGACTTTCGCAGACATTCTCACTGTGCAGTCAGTGAGTCTACCACCAGTCAGCTAACCAGCCTCACTGGATGTTTCATGTCAAACTCACCCCCTGGAAAGGGATGCACGCTTAGGGGTGTATCACATGTCGCCCACATGCCAAAGATCCACCACAGAGGATGACAGAAGGGGTGAGATGAGGGTAGTGTTGGAATGAAGAGAAGGGATGGATATCAAAAAGAGACACGAGTAGATGTTTGTTGAAGGATAATATCAGTTTATTAGACCTTGGGTCATATATTTGTAGTTTCGGCTTCTGTTTTTATTGGTTATGATGACATTATACTTGTCATAGTAATGTCTAAGATCCAGAATCATGATGATATCTCAACTAGGTCCAATGTGGAAAGAAGCTTGAACGGTCAGACAATCAGATGTATCGTAAACAACAGATCAGCCTAAGTCATACTGCCTATTACAATCCCATAACATAGTAAGTATCTTTGCATTGTACTTGGCTTTGGAACTGTATGGATTATATCTGGAACAGTTAATCTGCACGGCTGCTAGGAAATCTTTCAGCTATCTCCTTACGAGGGAGGAAGAGACAAAGGACTGACCCCTAGTCAGCAACCTGTAAATGGCCCTGAGTTATGAGCTGATGTCACCCTTGCAGCGAGCCAGCATACAGATGGCCTTCTCCTTGAACAAACTGGACGCTGTCACTTTCTCTCTTGCTTGCTATATCTCTCTCTTTTTTAAACAACCAACAGGAGACCGGTGGAATTTTCCAGATGAGAAAGAATGAGATCTTTGTCATGCATCTTTTGGCCTTCAAATGTAGAGCTGATTATTCAAAGTCAGGATAAGGAAGTGAATGAAAAACAGAGTAGGGCTGGTCTGCATTAAATAGCTGACTATACTATACTACTATATATAACAAAATGTTACAGGTAAGTCAGAATTGGGATACTGACAAAGAACCAATATGCAGGGAGTTTTACTGTGACGGGAAAAAATAACAACTTGATCTATAAAACTTCAAGGGTGGTTTCCATGGGGTTATCTGGCCCTAACCTTTAAGAATAAAATGGAACTGTCCTCCTGCACCCATTGCGCTTCTAAATCTACTCCTGTGTCTGTAAGCGTTTAAGTTGAAAAATGAAATGGACGGATAAATTGAACACAGGGCCAGGTTCAGGGCCACTTAAGACCAATCTCGGGCGCCATTTCCAAATGGTTCAGTCACTCGCTGGAGAGAGAGGGAGCAAGAGTATGAGGGATAGCACTGTAATGTATGAAGAGAGAGATGTAGAGAGACCCCAAGGTGAGCGATAAGTGTGTCCACGTGTTTGGCAGACTGCAAACCAAACCAAACAATCAGACAGTGGAGAGGTTTGCATGTCAGACAGAGGAACAGACACGCTGTAAGAAAGCCCAGGGAGACGTTAGTATGTTCAGAGAGAACAGATGGGGAAGCTGGAGGAGAGCCAGGGATCAATGGAAGGGAGCTGGGGGGTAAAAAGGGAGGAGGCAGGTAGGACAGGTTGACAACTATACATGTAAAACGGTTGATCTAACCTCTGTACCCGATAAATAATTGGCTTAAACGGGGCAACTGATGGCATTTTAAACATCAGTTTCATAACCGAGGAATGCATCCACAAAAGCGCCGAGAGCAACAGTGAGGAAAGAGATTATTTATATCTTGCAAATGTTAGGCGTAAATGGACACGGTTTAGCAATGCTCGCCGCAGCCCCTCGCCAAGACCAATATTGTTCCAGCCGACGGAGCTCCCGGGCTGGAAAGAGAGAGAGAGAGAGAGAGAGAGAGAGAGAGAGGGACCCCCTCCTCAATCACCACCTCCGTCCTCCACTCGGTAACAGCGTGGTCTCCACAGTATCCTTCAATTAGGTTGTAGTTTATGGCCCGGGGGCCAAGGCCGGTCCTTCGTGTTCAGGGCCAGGATCCAAGATTCGTCTCCATCCATCTCTCTTGACCCAGCCACCACCACTCCACAGGGCCACATCTGCTACCGAATGTGACCCCTCAACTGTTTCTCTCTCCATCTTTCCTGCATCTCCTCTTCTCAGCTTGGACTTTCTTTTACACCCTTCACTTTTGTTCACTGAGCTCGTTGTTTACACTCCAACTGAATCCAACATTTTTCCTCTAATTGAGTTTTTTTTATTTTGAACACCAGGAAATGAGCGTGTGTTTGCGTCTCTGCAAGAACAGAGAGTGAACTGTTATCATTCCCCAGTTATTCATCTAGTCCTAACGGGGGCCATGTCAAGGGACTTCCTACTACTGCTGCTGCACACACAACTAATCCTTACAGTATGTATGACATTAGGAAGAAAGTATTGCTACAGTCAAAAGGAGACATATGTTCCTTTGGTAGGGGCCACAGCGGACTCTACAACATTTTACACCTGCCCTCTGTGCATAGAGTGGGGAGGGAGGGGGGATACAAATCCCATAACTCATAAGAGGAACTGGGCCATTAAAATGAAATAGTAAGGGAACAGTACAGCACTGTCTGTCTTTAACTTTTTAGCGAGCTATTTTTGGCCATCCAGCACCATGTATGCCAGTATGCGGTTGAACATAACCAGGAAATGACAACATCCATAATTCACCCGAGGGATTGAATCTGAGGTAAAAAGAGCCTAATGCTAAGTTTAGCGGTGGTCAGCGTAGCTTTCTTGGTTATTTCAGAGCTACATATTGAAAGAGTCACGTTACATTAAGGGCTCACCGCCATGTTGAGGGAAACAAGTAGTCAAATGGACATGTCCGTCTCAAAGTGGTAATCTACAGTGAAAAATATGGCCAATAAGAGCTAGCTTTTGGTTCAGTGGGGTCATTGTGAGACCAAAGCAGGCCTATAAAACCAAGTACAAGTGTAGTGTATTTTTCTGAGGGTTCATATGTTTTGGAATGAAAGAATGAAAGGAGGGAGGCAAGTTGTACATTGTCGAGCACAACCTGTTTTCATTGGGCCTAAATATGTGGTTATGAAAACTTATATATAGGCAAAGATGTGAAGACAAAGCAGGGATGCAAGGAGGGAGTCCAAAATGAGCACCCGCCACTTGTCAAATATGAGTAAAAAAATAAAGTAAGTTAAAGGAAAACCAGAAAATCCTCACTTTTGTGAAGCTGCAGTTTTATGGCCAGTTGAAAAATATTTTGTCTGGTACAGTTTACAAGCTGTTGGCAGATACCAAAAAGTTAATTTTGGATCCTGGAGGCAGTACAGGAAAGGTGCATAGGAGGAGAAGTTATGTAGAGTTTTTAAAGTAAGCTTGGGTAGCGGATGTAAAGCACGGAGGGGGAAAATATATAGGGAATGCTTTCACTGATGGAAAGGGGTATATATGTGGGATAACTTGTAATAAACACTATAATATGGATGTCTTTGTTATTACTTTAGTATTGAAGTTTCACTCAAAAATATTTCACAATGGCAACACCAACGTCGCATGATTTTTTTGAATTTTTGAATTAATTTTTTTCAGGTTTGAAGATCACAAAAAGCAGTGCACGATGTTGGGCACAATATTGATGCAAGTCTGTGTGGGGTGGGCTGGCCCACAAGTTCTGTAAGACCCACAGCAGATATTGGCAGAATGTTTTCCTCCCTCATGGCTACAGGCAGGCACATGCAGTCATATGGTAATGCACAGTCATGATGCCAGCTGGAGAGCCTTCTGTTCACGCACTGTAGCTCACCATATACAAACCAAATTGTTATTTGGCAGCTGTTTGTAAATCATAGCTGATGTCTTTGTCATTTTGAGACTGCATGACAGGGAATCTCTTGTAGAGCTATTCAGTCAGGTGAGGGAGAAAAATCCTGCTGTGGGCGCAAAGCGGTTGCGGCATAAACAGCTGCCAGAGCAGGTGGGGACGGGTCTTAAAAAACTAGGGCTGTTCAGACCTCTACTACCTACTCTCAAGGCTGCATTGTTTCTGGTGGCTGCTGGGAGTGGAGATGGCAAAGATCTTCAACCGCTGTTAAGTCAAAATCGTTGTTGATGGAGCGGTTTCAAGGTTCCTTTTGGGGACAGTTATGTATGTACTTTAGAGTTGATTGATTTGTTGCTTCCAAAATGTTTGCAAAATTTTAGTTTTCATGATCAGAAAAGCCACAAGGAAATCCATGGTCTGCGCCAGAACATTTTATAACATTCTCATCTTCATTTTAATTCAATCTGTTACCAGTGGCACCATAATTCTTGGCCGTTGCCTCTGTGATTCTAAACCTGTCAAAGTTCACTCACAGCTTTACTATCAAAGCCCTCTATTCAGAGATCAGGTTAGCTGATTCAAAGATATACTGTGAAACACTTGAAGACTACAGTATTTCTACTCTTATTTTACTGTGGTGATGATTCTCTTTTCCACTGTATTATCGGTATGAGTATGAACCAGGGTCTCTAGGCTATACCTAATTATTTCTGCTGCTGTCATTTTCTTGTGTAACATAGTTTATGTCTTCTGTCTTCATTATGAAGCAATCAACAATCTTTGATTTATAAGGGTGATTAAGCTATAATCCCTCTATTTCCTGATCCAGGCTTGTTATAGCACATTTCTGCTAAGTACTCTTGCTGATGCGTTCTCCCTAACTTTGCTGCACTGACTGGCCAGGGTTAGGGTACGTTAATGCACTCCAGAGAGCAGTGTTGAGCCTCCGTCACATCTGTAGGTCTAGTATCAGATCATTAATCCATCATTAGGTTCTCTGAGATGTGGAGAGGTGAGCTGGATGGGTAGGGCTGGCTGGTGTTTTGGAAGGTGTAAAAGCTCAGAGAGGTTTTCCAAAGGGCAAAACCCCCTCCTCTTTCGCATTAAAGCTCCTGCATGACTTAGACCACATCAACACATGGAAAGGCAGAGGGGGGACAGAGGCAACAGACTGAAAGAGAGACTGAGAGAGTGAAACATGGAGCAGACAGGAATATAAGAAGGAAGGTAAATCCAGACACAGCACTTCCTCCGATGACAGGCGGGAAGCAGCGCAACTGTACAGCAGGCTTCAGCAGTGGCCTCAGAGTGCAGAGACGGGTCCTGAGCAACTTCCCTTCCCTTCCCTTCACCATTACAATCCCTTTCTCTCCATTACCTCTCCTCCGGCCACCCACCTGTTGCAGAGTGTAATCATGTTCTAGTTTGTTAGGGCCAATCACAGAGGATGAAAGATGCTTACATGATCGTCGGCTAGAGGTCTTCTGGAACTGGAGAGTCGCAACAGGTCGCGGCAGTGCAAGTCTCCTGGAGTAAGAGAGAGGAGGAGAAAGAAAGAGAGGAAAAGAGAAAGAAAAGGCACAATAAAACCATCAGTTTTTATGAGCGCATAGGGAATAATAAACACTCCCTGCTATGCTACAGAGAACCCACTCTTCAATATCCACCACTTTCATTCTGTCAGCTAAGACTGGTGAAAGAAAAGAAGGGAGGTGAAGGAAAAAGGCACTTGCTGTTGACAAAACTGCAGAGTTAAATCTGAATGTTTGTGAAATGTTCTCTCTCTTCTTTTGCTCTCCTCCCTCCCTCTTTTTATGTGTGTGTGTGTGTGTGTGTGTGTGTGTGTTTTTTTTCTCCTCGGGTGCTCTTGGGCGGTGCCAAGAAACTGCCCCGGCCTCCTGAGCTCTGTGTTGCACATCAAGTGCGGCCGTCCGAGCGCACACTGATGTGCGATTTTCCATCCACTTGCCGTCCAAAGTGGATCGGTACCAGCGCTATCATTTTCTGTCATTACTCATTTCGGGCCAGACATTGTGCGGAAATCCAGACTATTTTGGCAGTGTGAGGCAAGAAAAAAAAAGAGAAAAAGGGGGGAGAGAAAGAGAAAGAGAGTGAAACTTGTGTGACTGTGACAGCAGTAAAGACAGTTGGGCCAGCCTTGTTAAGAGGCAACGGTAGACAGTAGACAGGACAGGCTGATCTAGCAGGGGTTGTTTCTTACCTCTCCTGGAACTGTTTGGACGGGATTAGGCCGGCACGGGGATTGGCGCCCCCCTCGTGTTTGGCCTGCCACCAGGTTGCGTCATCTTGGCTCATGATCTGAAGGATGGAGCCCTTCTTGAAGGCCAGTCCAGCCTCCTTACATGGGATGGCTTTGTCCTCCTTAGGGTCGTAGTCGAAGAGTGCCTTCAGGAACACCTGGACGTGCAGCAGGGGAGGGGGAGGGAAGAAAACAAAGAGCTGGATTGAGGGCACAACAGGAAAAAGCAACGGTTCACTGTAAATCCCTCCATTGCGTAGAGTGTGAACTCTGCGGGCAAGCCATCACGGCAAACACAGAAGGTGCTTCACCAATGCTCAGGGTGATTATTCTAGAAAGGTCATTGCAATCAGAAGTTGAAACCTGCAACTGCTGGCCAAGTTACTCTCTCCGCGTCGTTCCATCAACACTTAGGACGGACTAAGCCCTGTCACCATCTTCCAAGTGTGGTGAGACTTAACATCTCCTGAGTCAGAGGCTCCACTTGGAAGCGCTGTGTTCCACCCACTGACGAATTCTAAACACAAACTAATATCAGGGATCTTTCCACATTAAGGAACAAACCGATATGGGAAAAAAAGTTGTTTTCTTTCTTTAAGGTCTGATTTGCTTTGGCGGAGGGGGTGGGACACACCTCATCAACACAAAGGAGGTTGGACCTTATAGTGGAAAAATCTCCGACATCTTTTCCCGATGTGGGCGACGAGCTGCAAGCTAAAGCACCTTGCTGAGTCTTCTGTCCGAATTGAGTTCTGTCATGATGAGTTAACACTCCTAAGACACCTCAGTACATGTGGAAAGAGAAGGAAGAGAGGGAAGGAAAGTGTGCATGTGTGAAAGAGAGAGAGAAAACAAGGGAGGGAGGGAGAGATTACATTTTTCAATGTCCTATTGATTTAAAGAGTGGTTTGTGCCATGTTGTAAAATTATGTTTCAGACAGAGATGTTTTGTTTGGGTCATAAAAGTCGCTTTGGCTGCTAAACCCTCCGGCAGAATACACTCATACATCTACACGCTAAGATCTCCTGCTTTTCTTCCCTTGGCTCAGTTTTTTTGGCCCGTACATGTTCAGCCACTTAGCTGCCCTTTGATGCATCTACACTACCTGATGTAAGCGCGCAGGCTATTTTCATGAAGGAGTGGCTGAGTGTTTGGCACTGGCGGACTATTTTTCAGATGGATTCCCTTAAACAGCCAGACAGTTTCAACCATTAAACGATGAGAAGGGATGGAAGTGGCCCACCCTGTCCTGTACACCTCTTGTTACACATGCAGTGTGGGCTGCGCTGTGAATAATGATAAACCGCCTTCGACCCTGGAGCTTAAAACCGATGAGCGAATCCAGCTTTTGTCTGCTACTGATAGATGAGCGTGTGAGAAATGGTGCATCAACACCCCAGTGGGTGAGAATGATGGTATGCTGGTTGGAGTGACAGTTAAACCACCCTCAAAATGAATGGCTACAAGCTACTGTCTACTGGTACAGTCCACATGAATGAAGATAATGTTGTCCTACATATGGCTAGGCACCAAACCATTAATACTTTTTTGGTACTAACAGAAATGTGTCTTTAGCACTGAGTCTTGGAAACTTTAAGTACTAAAAGCTGGCGGGGAATGTCTGGATGGATTCATCTTCTGTACCTACTCTTTGATAAGTCTTAAAGTTCTTGTACAACTACACAAGAAACTGAAACAGAAAGAAAATATAAAAACGTAACTTAACACCACTTCCAGACAGTGTTTGCGGCTGCCTCCGTTTTTACTGTAAACAGTTGCGAGGAGGGGGAGGCCGCACAGCTCTTTGCATTTGGAGTTTATGATGGTTCAACTTGTCCGTGCTCGCTCTGTGACCACGGCAGCCACAGAAACTACAGCGAGGGAAACAATACAGGAGCTTAATTTCACACCTCTTCATCTGCAGAACAATGAAGAAAAACTGTACTGGAGCAACATCAGCTTTAGATGTTCGATTTCAGTTTGAAGGCTGGTTATCCGGTCAGAGAAAATAAACAGCTTTTATCACACCAGCGGACAAAACCTGCCATATTATATACTGTATATCATAGTACTGACCATTTCCATTTTTTTAAGCTACAACCTGCTCTATGTAGCTTCATAAGAAGGTGGATGGCATCAGCCTGTGGTATACAGACTGGTATGATTGGAAGTAGCCAGGAACCGCCACGGTGGATTTGTGCCCTGTTTCCACCGATTTATTATAAAAAAAACATTGTAATTGCCAGGTGGCAATTAGCTTGTTGTCTGAAAGCACCTTTAATCTACTTCTGTGAGTAAGTATCATACTGATTCTGGTCCCAGTCTATAGTGTTAATAGTATGCTGCCTGTAAATGTCCATGCCCCCGAAGCAACATCAATTTCTGTCTTCTACTACACTACACTTAACTGTGTTGATCAATGTTACAGTGTTTGAGGCAAATTTACACACTTTGTTCCACTCATTCACAGCCCCTATTTTGTCCCTTTATTGCCTCTACTACATCTTCTAAAGCCTCGCTAAGCTAAGCTAATGGTTCAAACAAGTCTGGCCCTGAACAACTGTTTAGGGCTGTCAGGGAAGGTGGGAGAATCCTTTGAAGTCACTGTCTCTAATTTTCCATGTCATCCCACTTTGGGTTGCACAGTGGAAGACGTTACTTGGCCAGTGTAGACATTAAAACGAGAGCCAGCAACTATGGTTCTGTAAATTTTTCATGACTGACAGATGTATTTAGAATATGAGGAGCAGTACAAGCTAAAACAGGTTCCTTTAACATTTGAAAAAAAGGGTTTTGTAGAAAAAACGTATATTCCTCAAAGTAAGGTTTGTTATTGGAACCAAAACCCAGGTGTTTCTGCATTATTATCAACATTTCAAATACCTTCCCTTCCTCTTATAAAACAGCCTGGTTACTGTATTCCCTCTTCTCAATACCATTTTACAGCTCTCGACTTTCCTTGTACATACATCATATCCTCACTGTGGCTCAAAAACAATGTTTCACATCCAACAAAAAGGTATCAGAGAGGCGCTTTCTGTTTTTTTAATCGATGAGTGTAACCCAATCGACATAACGATTAAGCCAGTACAAGACCTACCTTTGGCTCCTTGGATGGCGCCTCTTCCTTGACGCCGGGGACAACTTTAAAGGTAATGGCTCCTTGCGACTGGGCCTGAAGATTGATAGAGTAGTTTAGGTACAAATGTAGGGTTGGAAACAGCAGTCATCTGTCCTGCAAATATTTCACAAAGCACCTAATCCAATGAAAGTCACATAATGCAAAGCACTGTTTGATTTTTCAACAATGGAAGGGTTATTAGGATTGGATGACTCCGCTTGGCAGGGAGAGAGAGTATGAGTGTGTGTGGGGGTAAAGGGGGAGTGTTGAGAGCTATCATCTGCTGCGGAGGCCTTTGTGTCTGAGAAGGCCTCCAGAGTTTAAGAGACTCTCTTTCCTCTCCAGTTGTCCCCCCCTGGCAGAGTTCAGGCCCATAACGGAGCTCATTTGAGGCCTGCGGCGGAGCCTGCTTGGAGGAACTATTAAGCATCGATCTCATCCGGGGGGACCGTGTGGCTCAGTGCATATGGTCTAAAGGCCAGGAAAGACTTGTAGAGAAAGGCCAGTGTTTGGTTTTCAGCACAGCGATGTGAGGCATGGGGTCCTGGATGAGTTAGGGGAGTTTTTTAGCCATCACAAACAAGGAATGTTATTTTCGCCAAGGGAGTGGAGCTGAAACACGGGAGAAACCCTTGGATAGCACACACACACACACACACACACACACGCACAGGGCAGAATGCAGTCACACACACACAAACAGATGAGGCTTACCAGAATACGAATGATTTCCTCTGGTTTCTTGTCATCCACAGGGATTCCATTGACCTCCTTCAGTTCATCTCCTACATGTATCAGTCCTACCGCACACAAACACAAAGTTTGCATATCTCCAATCTCTCTTATACTCCATTATTCTAATGTCCTAACTATAAGTGTGCTACTGTGTAAAAGGCCGGTGCTCGCAAAGCCTGGGGATGTGTACAGTACACCAGATTAATGTTTATCGTCATGGTGGCATTTGAGATTGGAAAAGAATCAAAACATTATTGTCGACACATGTGGAAATTTGCCTTTGGCTCCAACGTGGCAGGGCTGAAAAACAGACTGGACACAATGATGAATACAAAATCAAACCGAAAACATGTGGGCAACAAGCAGAGCCTCTGCTTCTCACTCATGTTCATATTTACAAAGTGGAAAAAACAATTTATGGTACAGAACTGGTGGTTTCAGGTGCAAGGATAATTCCTAAATACATCCCTTCTTTGTTGCACACTGAATGTAATCCTGCTGGAATAAAAATCTCTTTCATACTTGACTCCACACTGCAGACTCACATGCACATGTTTCAGTAGTGAAAAATGCATACACACACGGTCAAACCCAAGTAAGAAAGGGGGTAAAAAAAAATAAAAGGTGGAACTGACCACTCCTGTCGGCAGCTCCACCTCTCATGATCCGGGCCACGAGGATGGCTCCTGTGCGATCGTCACGCCTTATCGTTGCTCCCTACAAAGCAATCAGAAAGAATGATTAAAAACTGGATGAACTGTATTTCCTCACCGCTTAAAGTCGTATTGCTCAAATGTCAAATGATAATAACACAAAATGACAGTAAGAGGTATCTGGTCAGAATTCTGCATACAGGATGCTTATCGTTATCATAATGGTTCCAAAACTTCATGTCAATGTCCCTCACAATAGATGCATTCTGTTATGTTAGAAGAAAATTAAAGTCTTCAAAGCTAATCAGTGATCAAACTACGATCACTATAAATTACAATCAATAAACACAGCAAACCCTATTTCTTCCGTCGTTGCTCCAACTACCAAAAAATGTGAAGAATATTCTATTACTCCTTTTGCTGGGGACCCCCTATAACCACCCCTGGATCCCAGTTTGAAAACCACAGTTTAAAGTACAAATAAAACAAATCAAATAAAACAGATGTCTTGTTTATAGGGATGGATGATTTTCAGGTGCATTTTATGTACTTTTATATAAAAGATGGTGGTAGGTAAAAGCATTTGATTCAGTTTACACAACACATTTCATTAAAGATAACGCGGATCTTCTGAAATCTTTGTACTTTCCATCTCACATATGTCTGAACTTACTTGATAGGGAAAACTAAGATTCAATACTTGCTTAAGTATGGTGGGCTAGTATTTAAGACAGTAAGGGATCATTTTAACATGTAAACCAATGGCTCAGTAAAGGGAAGAGCAGCTGAAAGGTGGGTTCATACTAATAGTGCTAAATTTCATACATATATTCAAAGAAACAACAGCATATGAGCATACCAATTAAAATTATCCAACAATTGCACATAGAATGATGTAAAAGGTAGACTGTTTGTTACGGATAGTCTGAATCCCTCTGTCAGTACAGTAGTAGTGGCAGGAGGCATCGATATCTTTACAAAAAGAGCTGGCCTAGACAGAGAGGGGTGAGGCCCAAGCAGGTACGAGGTAGTAGACTAAGAACACACACACACACGCAGTTGCTCATGCCTTCCTTGTCCTCCTTTATGAGCTTGGTGCTCAGCCAGAAAAGACACACGGAGGAGAGGATAGCGTTTCAACTTCCGTATTTAAAATGACAGCGTTGCAGCGGTGATGCATTTACCAGTAAACCCAAATAGCCTTTTCCCTTTACAATAAAACAATAGGCTTAATGGGTGCCAACCTGTCACAGCCCTCCCACAAACACTGTTTCGGCACCAGCCTGGCTGGGATTTAGGATGGAATAGGATAGCAAACTGCAACCCAAAGTGTGGCGTCATCCTCGTTTGGGCCTGACGACCCAAACCAGACAGATGCGTCGTCTAGTCGACACATAGTTTGTCGGGGCTGCAACTCATCCTTCCACCCTCTCCTAGCTGCTATTCCCATCATCCCTGAAGATTGTTTTTATTTCTGTTGCAACAAAAAAAAAAAAAAAAAAAAAAAAAAGAACAGGCTCGGAGCCTTCTTCATCCCGCTCAGACGTGCTTTATTTCAGCTGTCCTAATCCATTGCCGCCCGGGTTGAGAGCTGGAGTGTATCAAAAGCTCGCCATGTGTCACGCTGCTCCGGTTTGTGTCATTTTCCTGTTTGCCTTCCTCCGACAGGCCCAAAGTAGTTGTAGGTACTACCATCAATGGGAAGCACAGGAGGAGATATTAAAAAAAGAGCCCTTCAAAGACCAAAGGAGCCTCTGCTTTGTGCCACTTCGCCTATCCCATTAGCATGTCATCTTGGTTGTTTTTACGACCTATTCACACCTAATGGTTTTCCTCCTAGATAATGGTTTCCTCAAGGCCTTTGGGGTGTGGAGATGGAAACAAGGAAGGACATCAGGATAAGACAATGGTGGGGTCTACAGAGAGTTGCGGCCCTAATAGAATAATTGGGCTAATTAAAGAAACCCGAGAGGTTGCAGTAGGAGAGAGCCCAGTGGAGCGGGTCAGCAAGAGGGGAAGGCACTGTCGGACCCCAGTGTCAGGGTCACATATAACTCCTCAGTGTGACTTAAAGCAGCTGTCTGTGATGCAATGGCCCCCAGACGGACAGAGAGGCCTTTTGTGTGTGTGTGTCTGAAAGAATAGAGAGCTGCAAGGAAAGAGACTGTGACAGACAACAGGGTGAGATGGGGAGTCTGCAGGAATTCTCACAGGAGTATTCAGACATGTGGTCATTAACTTTCTCTCTCTACTTTTTCTTTCAGACTCGTTTTTCAAGCTGGCTGATAGCCAGTGGTATGATGGATGTTTTTATTGTGTCCCTAGGGGTACCTGGTGGCTGGTGGCAGTCTAAAGGCTAACTAAACAGCCGAGAGGCAGCCTTGGTCTGTAACGACAATAGGCTGTCTGCACAAACTCCAAAGACGTGCTCTACACCACATGTCTATGGCTATCTATGGAATCTGCTCACATATGGTGTGTAGATATAAATTGTGTTTTGACACATATGGCTTAAATCACATGTTGAAACCATGATGCCGTTTAGAAACACCACTTTTACGACTTTTATTGCAAGTGGCAATGGTGATTATAGAGCAGCACATTTAGCATGCAAACACAAATGGATGGTGTAGTGAACCCAGGTCACTGGTAAGCAAGGAGACCATTTTATCCCCATTCAAACCACCATGCTTTATGTGTTTTTACACCAGTAGAGAAACAAACTCTGGTATCGGTGGGCAAATTTGCCTGTGCTCATTTTCCTTTTACACCAAACTGACTCTATAACTCTCTAAGTTATTTAAAGCTGTAGTCATTTTTAAGCCTTTATTCTTTGCGATTCTCATCTGACCCACTGCCCTTCAACGTGATGGGCTTACATAGGCCAGCCAAGCCAGCAGCAAGGGAGTTGGGGATTTATGAGGGAGGGGGAGCCTCCCTTCATAATCTGGCCAACCCCTGTCTGAACTCAGCCCTGGTACAGTAGCCAAATGAGCTCTGTCTGATAAGGAAAGCTGAGAGAGGCCAAAACGCTCCAGTGGCAATGCGAGCGAGCCAAACTGGAGGGTAAGTGGAAGACCAGAGGAGGACTGACAAGTTGACTGGGAGTGAAGTGAAGATAGTGGGTAAATGAGTTGGGGTTGGGGTTGAAAGTAAGAGTGAGTGTGATGAGTGACTTAGTAGTGAATAAATAGGAGGAAAATACAGATTAAAAGAGATATAAGAGATGATAAAAAAGTAAGGCATAAGGAATGGGAGAGGGAATGAGAGCATCAAAGAAAGAGAAAAGGATTTAAATAGAAAACATAAAAATACTGGCATTGTTTGGACAAAGATTTTGACCAAAACTAATATCCATTACAACAAGTTGAAAGAAAAGTCCTTGCTCAGTGTAAAAGCAATCAGGTGTCACATAAAGCATAGGTCAGTTTACCTCAGTGAAGGTGCTCTGTTGGCCGTTACGGCAAAAAGGAGCAGACAAGGAAAGGACGCTTTTCATATTCATGGGCTTCTTTCGCCATTCCTAAGGTTTATAAGACCCCATTTATCCCAATCTGTGATTATTTCAAGTGCACCACACTACCCCCTCCACCTCATTACAATCTAGAGTCAGCCTTCATTCTGTCAATCCTCCAGGGGTACATCAGCCTCGCCTGGAGGCCTGACGAATACCTTGGAAGCACTATGAGGCAGCTGGACCGAGGGGGGCAAAACCAACCTCCTGAACTTAGCATCACCTCCCCTTGTGTCTTGATACCCTATGGGTGCTATCATCAGCATCCAGCCATGCATGGCCACTAATGAGGAGTCCCTGCTCTGTTAAACAAATACATAAACAGTCAGGCTAGAACCTAAATAAGCTGCACGTAAGGAAGAAACACAGTAGGTAAAGACCCTCAAGCACCAAGATGGGCTTCCTGGTGTAACAGCTAAGCATTAGCACAAACTGATGGCTAGGTTTATACTGAGCCTTCAACGCCTACTGGCACATGGAAGCCATTTCAGACTTTTCCTTGCACATGGAAACAGTGCAGGAAGTCAAAAGGGGAATGTCTACGTCTGTCAAAGCACATGCACGCATGAGTGACGGCATGTGTAGGTGTGTTTTCGCGTGCATGGAAGCGTGTCTGCGTGTGTGTTTCAATGAGAGTGTAGCCGTGGGCTTACCTGAAGTCAGGCCAAACAGGCCGGAGAGAAACCTCAAAAGACTGGATGATTGATGCTGGACAGTCACTAAGCCTGATGAATGGGCTACGCTATGTTAGCAATTAGAGACAAGGCGCCACTTAACCATCAAGTGGCTCAACTGCGCTATTTGTAAGGAAAGAGATAGCATGGTGTGCACACAAGATGGTGAAAACATTTTTTTCTATGTTGTTACAGTCTGATTCTCTCTTCCTGCTGTCAACCATTGCTACAATTTACCCTTTAGATGAGTATAAAAATAGACCCAAAAGATTAAGCCTCTCCAGAAATCTAACGTTGGAGGGCAGAATGCACCGAAATACACAGTCAGAAATAGAGACAAGAGGGGGGTCATCTTGGACTGAAGAGGGCCTTCTAGCTGTGGTCAATTAGTCATCAGTAAGGCGATCCGAAGCCTCCACTCCTAACGTGATCAGCTCCATATGCAGCCGCTGCTCCCAGCTCTATTCCTCAGTTTCTAACACATAAATGCCTCTGATTGTTATTGTTGGGCTGGCCAAAACGCAACGGCTTAGTCTCTGCTGTGTGATGAGGAGAACTGGAGCGACGCTTGTCCGTATCAAGCCATCACCCCTCCCAGCGAATGCACTGGAGCACACATGCTGACATGGCAGCCACATTAAGTATGTGATGACAAATGGCTCACACCTCATACAGTGCGGGAAAAAAAAGAGAGAATAGGGACTGAAATTTGGATCCCCTCATGTATGAGAGTGTGTGTTTATTAGAGGGAATGGAATGGAGGCAAGATTGTCCAGAGAACTGTCAGCGCACAGTAGTGCCATGAAACTTCAGCAGATAAGAGGAGTAAGACAAGCTGAGTTCTGGATGTTTCATCACATTAGCTTGGCTGGGATT